GGAATGATGTATGATGTAAAACATGAAGAAACACATCATGAAACTAAACAGACAAAGTTATATGACTAGGAAGACAAACCTAAATGCACCATGAAAAAATTCTACAGTATTCCGAAGCTTTGACATATTAGCTGGCAAGCACATGTGAGATATTAGACCAAGTTGGTGATCAGGAAGGATTTCAAAAGGTGCAACCACCAAAGATATCCACCGAGCACTAACTGGAACATCTAATCTATAAACATATGTTTTGCGAGGAGGATCATCCTTGCTCAAAACCTGCAAAGAATTTGTTAAACATAGTTACGACATCAACAAACATTAAACACCCATCTGATACAGTAATACTATATATGGTCATTGACTGGCGAAATACACCTATTTAACAAAAAACTGCACATAGAATGTAAGTCAGTTAATTTGATATCAAGATAGGAACAATAACCCAAGCATGAAGGAATGCCCTAGATGTAATTGTAATTATCCAATTACATCCATAATTGTTGCAACCTATATTTGCATTATGACTTATCTCACACTACCACTATCTCCAATAGATACTCAAGATTAAGCCACAATGCTTGGTTCTATAACAAATTGTTCAGTTTCCTCTATATAGATATTATATACATATAAACCTTGATTCTCAAGTTGGTAATTTAAGCCAAATTTCACAGACCCTCCAGAAGATCGACTTTTGTATCAGTATCTAGTCCATCTGCATGAGGATCACATGGGCAGTGGTCTTCAATAGAATAAGGGTTAGCTCAATCTATCAATATCCTTGTCACATACCATACCAGCAAAAGCAGAATTTTCATGTAGAAAGGCTACCATATGACAGAACTCCAGATCCTAATAAATTTATTGCTAAATTCATGAATGAGAAAACTTTCACATTGGCCCGACCAAGAGGGAACACCAAATATCTCGTGCCACAGAAAACACCCCAAACAAATATCATAATAATGACTATGAGTCGTAAGACCTTTAGCTGGTTGTCAAATAGCAGACTAGACCTATTAAAATTGGCACGATTCATCTCAATCGAGAAGCTCGATTGATACTTCCATTAGTTAATTGTCATCTTGCTATATGCATAAAAAGATTGAGAATCAAACGACTGTTACAACTTCATGGTTCCTATATAAAAAATAGGATTAACTACATTTTACTCCCTGCAGGTTAGGGTCATTATCGAAATGGGCACCGAGGTTTCAATTTCATCAATATTGAAACCCAACGTTTTTTAATATGACTAAATTATGCACTCTGTCAACTTCACCATTTGATTTTCTGTAAAATTGTTATCAAATTACACACACCATTGTCATTTTCTTCATTGTTTTCTTTTACACATCAGCATAATCAAATGGTGAAGTTGATAGAGTGCGTAATTTGGTCAGATTTAAATACGTTGGGTTTCTTTTTTTGATAAGAAAAATGTTGGGATTCATATTGATGAAATTGAAACCTCAGAGCCCATTTCGATAATGACATAGACCTGAAGGGAGTAAAATGTAGTTAATCCTAAAAAATAAGAATATAAATGGTGAAGAGACAAAAAAAACTACATGTTGGTTTACAATTTGCTAATTCATTAAAAGCGAACCAACGATCATGTAATATCAATTATAAAAGAGGGACTAGGATTGTTCATATATGAAAATATTGTATATACTGACTAGATAAGAAAATTATCAAGATAATTAAAGTGGAGGAACGTAAAACAAATATAGTTTCTTTTCTATCTTGTCATTTGCATGGATCCAGGAAGGCAACAGTCTCAATTGCCTATGTACTGCCTTTTTTTTCTAAGGAAGCACTGTTCCTGGTATCCAGGATTTACACACCTTATCCTTTTTCAAGGAACTACTAGCTGCGTACTCCAGTATACTCAGCCCTCATCAGCCTAGAAGTGCAGCCATTTGCAATGGTTGCTTTTTTTGCACTCAAAAGCAAGATAAACTTTCCACACTACGTATGTACTGCCCTTAACAATAGTGTTTGTCCAACCACCAACGTTAAAGTTCCACTCAACAGAGTGTCGATCCAATAGATGCCTGCGGTGAGCGTGGATCGAACACGCGACCTCAGATATTCAGTCTGACGCTCTCCCAACTGAGCTATCCCCGCAAATAATGCACCAATGAGGAATCGAACCCCGGTTTATATCGTGTCAAGGCAAAAATCACACAAAGGGGGTAAGAATTTACTGAATTACTCTCTTCCTTTCATGACAATTTTCCTTACATCTTTTATCAAAAGTATATATTTCGACTGATCTTCCTCTATTGTTTGCTAACCACTGTTTTAAGGGGTTGTCAGCAAGAAAATTAGAATACACACCCATTGGAATCAATTTTTTGAAAAATTGGAATCAATTAGTTAGGTGCAACCCAACAAATCACAGATTATACCTATTAAATTTAGATTTTATACAGTTATACTTCCTTTGTTGTGCAATTCCACTTTGCACACTGGTTATTTGATTCATCAAAATCATGTGCACTTTTTCATGGCAAATACACATTAAGATGGCACTTGAACATGAAAAGACATGTTCTATCATTCATCTCACCTGGTATAGTAAGCTTCCAGTGCTAACAGCCACAAGATTTTGTGCAACAGTAAACTCCAGATCATAGCTGAACACGTAATAATCAAATGAATATACTGAAGGTTGTGAATATGCAAAACTACCAAAAGAAGGGCACAATTAGACAGTTAGTACCAGCAACTCTGTGAACTTTCATCCATACAAGGGAACCAGCATCGTGCACGCCGTATCTGGTTATCAGTATGTAGAACAGTATCATGAAAGTGAATTCCTGTCTCTGCTTTCTCTACCCAATAATCAATACGAACCAACCGCACATTCTGCACCAACACCAACCTATATGAGAAACCATAAATAAAAAAAACATTCGCCACCTATGAAGCTATGAACCCTCACCGCGAAAATTCTAAAGAAGCGCAGGTCAACCCAAAAACTGAACTATATGCAAGTTTTTTTCACCATCCTAACCATTTACATCAAGCCAGAACATTGAAAACCCACATCAACAATTTTAAACTCACAAACCACAACCACAACTATATATCATAACCTGCTTGGCTTCCCCAGAGGAATGTTGCACCTCATTATCCACAACCAGTTGCTCCTGCAGTTCGCTTCCGGCCTTGAATGCCTTACAACAATTGATCAGTAAATTCGGGACCAATTCTCTCTCAAGAGCCGATATATAAGTGGAACCTGCCGCATCGGCAGCATAGCTCGGAGACGTAACCCAACTCCATCTCTTCTCGCTTTCCGCATCTTTATGATTACTATGCGGGTAGTACTCAAACTCAGTCTGCTCGCCGTCGACTGAAACACTCTCAATCCCCAGGTTTTCTGCGTGTAACCCTACAATCCCAATTTCTGGGACGGAAATCTTCAACTCTGTGTACCTACAAACCCAACAAAAACAAACAACAAAATTAAGCAACATTAAGACTAACCATCCAAAATTATAACAATTTTTGGTTCCTCGAGCTCCCTAGTTACATTTCAACTAGAAAAGAACTCAATTGAATCCTTTCACGAATATTGAAAGCTCCAAGTTTGAATTCGCTCAAAACAGATAAAAAGACACCAAGAAAACCGTGAATAATTGTCCATGTGTGTGGCAGTGAGGGCTGACACGAACCCATAAATGCGACGCTTATCGATGTCGATGGAGAGGCAGAGCTTCTGATGACGAACGACTGGCCCGGAGTTGTCGGGCTTGGCGTCCTCATTCTTGGGCTTGCGAGGCTTCGCCATGGTCGTACGGAGCCTAACGAGAGAAAGAGAGATCGAAGAGCAAGCTCGCGAGCTCACTAGCTTTGTATCTTCTATCTTGAATATGTTTTCGCCGAAGGAGAAAAATGAAACGAGGGTTTTATTTATAGACGCACTCACGGAGGCTCGGACTCACGGCCTTCTCTCTGGTTAGGTTACTCTCTCACCTCTTCGGTGACGACCGTAGCGCTATGCTTCTCATCTTGACCGTCCACTCTTTGATAATACTGATCTACGGTGGATGGAAGATCTTTCCTAGAGTTGACCGTTGGACAACAATGCTCTTCTTCTTTTTTTATGTAGAAAAAACCGTAGCACTATCCTTTTCATCTTGACCGGTCCTTGTGTTGAAGATACTGATCTACCGTGGATTGAACGTCGGACAACAAAACTTTCTCCGAATTGTCATTCGTCGACTTCCTTGAACCTCTCTCCCATCAAAGTTCCATCTGCTCACGATACACACAGCCGATCACCGGCTCGCTTCCAATCGGGTTAGAACTCATATACGGAACGAGGGCGGCCCGTGGAAAATTTGCATTGCTTCACTTCACATTGATTTTTATTTTTTTTACAAATAATTTTCAAACTAGTAAAAATTCAGAATTAGACATCAAATCAAACCCCAACCAAGAAAAGATTTTTTTTAGTAATTAGACAGAAACAAAAGCCATAATTCCAGACACCCTAGATCAGAACAAAGCAAACGATTTTGTGGAGAAGAAAGAATAACACACCCACCATTTGGGGGGAAATGCATAATTAGATTAAGAAAATGTAAAATCCGTGATACACCCACCAGCTGCAAATGGAACAAATGGGTCTTGGTTGAAGAGAAATTCAATACATTTCGAAGAACAATAACAAAGGATTTCGTGGAATAAAAAAGTAAGGTAAGGTAACTGTACAAAAAGTTCCCATCTGTTGAATAAAAAAGTTGGTGGATAAGGAAGGGAAAAAAAAGTAATCTGCTGCCGCATAATAACTAGAGATTCAAATACATATATAACTAAGATGATGTTGTGTGTAAAAAATCCCACAAATACTATAATATAATATGATGTTGCAGTTGCCACTTCCTCTGGGAAATTTTACATTCAGAAGAGTCAAGCCAAAACAAGTCAACAGAGGCAAATTAAAATGACCTAGACTAGATTATAGGAAAATTTTTCTTCTAGGTGGTGGCACTCCGAGGCTTCTGAATTCGCATATTTGAGGTGCAAATTTTCCTATAATTTCTTATTTCAAGCTGCCTGGCGGCTATTTCTTCCAGCTTTCTGGCGGCTATTCCCTGCTTAGTTTCTTCTTTCTGCAAAACCCATTATATTACAAAAAACTAAACTCAAAGGCTAATAAAAACACTTATAAACATGCAAACAATTGAGTCTCTTGATCCACGGTCATTCAATAAATAAAAAGATTTCATGTAAGCACATTTTTTTCACCTTTGCCATTGTCGTGTAATTCCCCCCATCCAGAAAAGAATTCTCATCCATAATGCATTCTTGTTTATCCGAAATAGGTTCATAATCTCCAAAATCACTGAGTCATAAAAATGAAAAACCCTGTTACATAAATAATGTAACAGAATTCCAACGCACTATATTAATGTTATTGATGAAAACACGAGAAATGTGAAGGAAACTTACGAAGTAAAGCAGAAAACAAGCCAGAACCAATCAAGGTCCTTGATATCCACAGAATGAACAGTTGAATTTATGGTCTTGATCATATCTCTTCCTCCATCTCCAACAACAACTTGAAATGTGGTGATACAAAGAAATTGGACCTCAATATTTACATCGCAACAACCGGTCTTCATATGGAAAAAGTCAAGGTTCCCCAAATGAACTAAATACTCTGTCTTATAGTCACAAAATGGCCATGGCGGACTCGCAATCTCCAGGCCTCGCAATGCAAATATTTTTCTTAGGGAGTATGCAATAATATCGTCATTACCTTTGTCCATACTAAAAGAGAATCCTATAAACTCATCCCCATGTAAGGCACATATAGTCTTGCCGACAACCACGGCCCTCCCATGGAAAGGAGCATAACGAATAGAAGTTTCAACTTGCACCCGATTCCATCGCTTTCTACTCTCATGAAAAGCAACGACATCGGAATTATTTTCTTTCCACCCACACAATGAAAACAAAATTACACCATAACAAATAGCATAACCAGTTATATCCATATAGGTGTCATAATGTCTATAAAATGGAAAAGAAGGCATTTCCTCCCAAATATTCCGATCGGGATCATATCTCTCAAATGAGGGCTCCGAACTTAGTGGGAAGCATGATGGACTTGCAACACAATAAATCTTGTCATATGCAGACACAACAGTTGCTATTGATTTAGGAGCTAGGGTAGGAGGAATAGATGAATGTGTTAACCTATTATTGTTGGTATCAATAATATATCCACCTTCCTGCATAAGAATGTATAATTTGGAGCGGTTGAAATTCCGTGCAGCTTGAATGCATATACCCTCACAGAACTTGGCAACAAGTCAAACTACTGGGGGTTCATGAGTGACTCCTGCTCCGTGTTTGAATTTCACTTCATAGATTGCATTAGAGTATTCGCGCCCATAAGAAGATACACCAATAAATATACAGATCTAGTTGATGCATGCTCCCTATCCACAGGCAAGCTGCTGGACAGCGAAGAGAGATATGTACATCATTTAAATCAAGTTAATCTTTTCAAACACCTACCACCTACCTTAGAGTAAATTAATCTTTTCAAGCTGGACAGGCAAGCTACAGCATCTACTTTAGTAAGCACATACACGTATATAGGCATAAATACAAACAAAACAGTAAGAATGCATGCATGCATCAATAATTTCCTACAAACTGCGAATGAAAGTGTAGAAGTAGATAATTTATCTGGTAGAAGCTGGTTATTTTTCCATGAAAGAATCTTTGAATAATTAAAGATGCATAACTCAAGCAAAATTCTCCGAGAAACTAAGCAAATATAAAATTGATCGAAAAACTTGAAGAAGAAAAATGCACTGACCTTGGATAAAGATTAACAGCTTCATGGTGGGACTGCCGTCAATCACCGTGGAAATTGGAATGGCTGTCCTTACGTGTGGGATGGGGAGTAGTAAGCAAAGCTCCTCCGTTATTGATTTTGTCAAATCAAACAGTTGGCCCAGAGATTCCTCCATCTCCGGTATCTTGCTCAGAGATTTCTCCGTCTCCAATATCTTGCCCAGAGATTTCTTCATCTCCCATATCTTGCCCAGAGATTTCTCCATCTGCGATATCTTGCCCAGAGATTTCTCCATCTCCGATATCTTGCCCAGCAGATCATCTTGGCATGAAGCCACTTGGTCTTGACCCGAGGCGAGCTTAGCGGCGGTGGTAGGTTGAGACATGGTGCCGGATGATAGGACCTCTGCTATTGATAAGATTCCAAATTGAGGCTGGATAAAGGGAATATATGGGGGTTTGGGAATGCTGCGGCCGTCGAAAATTCTAGAAATAAAGATAGAAGAGCAGATGCTTTGTAAAGTCTGAATTGCACAGAGCATGTATTTATAGAATGAACTAATTAATCTCGCTAGAAACAGGACACTCTTTTGAAGGAACCAACATTCTGAGGTTCCTGTGTAATGTGTACGAACATTTTAAGTCGTATGATAGCACGGAGACGAACGTCAACGTAGACGTTATTCTCAGAAGGTGTTGGCCTGGTTTTTGGATCAAGTTCATATCTTGACTTAGATTGGAGCTCACAATTTGGGAAGATATGATTTAGATTTTTTTTTTTAATCAGAAGTATTTTCTTAGAGTTGAGATCACACATTGGAGTCTTATTTGTTCTCGAACATATATAACAATACTGTTTTCAGAGAGGTTATAATAAGATCAACGGTAAAGGATCCCACAAATATATCAGCGATACTATAATATAATATGATGTTGCAGTACTGACCATTGCCTCTGAAAATTTGTACTTTCAAAAGAGTCAAGCCAAAATAAGTCAACAAAAGCAAATTAAAATGACCTAGACTATATTATAAGAAATTTTTTCTTCTAGGTGGTGGCCATGCAAGGCTTTTGAATTTGAATATTTGGGGTGCCAATTTGAAAGTTTGAGATGCTAATTCCCCCATCATTGCCTATTTCATGCAGCCTGGCCGGTATTTCTAGCTTTTTGGTGGTTATTCCCTTCTTGGATTCTTCTTTCTGCAAAACCCAATCATATTACAAAAACACGGATAAACATGCAAACAATTGAATCTCTTGATTCATGATCACTTCATAAATGAGAAGATTTCATGTAAGCACATTTCTTTCACCTTTGTCATCGTCCTACGTTTCCCCTCCACCAGAAAAGAATTCTCATCCAGAGTGCTTTCTAGTTCATCTAGAGTGGGTTCATAATCTCCGTACTCACTGAGTCATAATAATAAAAACCTTGTTACACACAAAATGTAATAGAATTCTAACGCACATATTAATGCTATTGATGAAAACACAACAAAGGTGAAGGAAACTTACGGCGTAAAGCAGAAAACAAGCCCAAACCAATAAGGCTTCTTGATCTCCACAGAACGAACAGTTGAATTTATGGTTTTGATCCTATCTTTTCCTTTATTTCCAACAACAATTTGAAATGTGGTGATACAAAGATATTGAACCCCGAGACTTATATCGCAATAGCCAGTCTTGACATGGAAAAAGTCACGGTTCCCTAAATGAACTAAATACTCTGTCTGATAGTCACAAAATGGCCATGGTGGACTCGCAATCTTCAAGCCTCGCAATATAAACAATTTTCTTAAGGAATATGTAATATCACAATCATCATCTTTGTCCATATTAAAGGAGAATGCTATGAACTCCTCCCCGTGCAAGGCATAGATAGTCTTGCCTACAACCACGGCCCTCCCATCGAAAGGAGCATGATGAATAGAAGTGTCAACTTTCACTCGATTCCATCGGTTTCTACTTTCATGAAAAGCAACGACATCGAAACTATTTTCTTTCATCCCACACAATGAAAACAAAATAACTCCATAACATACAGCATAACCAGTTATATCCATACAGGTATCATAATCATTATAAAATGGAAAAGAAGGCATTTTCTCCCAAATATCCTGATTAGGATCATATCTCTCGAAGGAGGGCTCTGGAATTGGTAGGAAGCCTGATGGACTTGCAACACAATAAATCTTATCATACGCACACACAACAGTTGCTATTGATTTAGGGGCTAAGGTAGGAGAAATAGATGAACATATTGACTTAGTCTTCGTGTCAATAATATACCCACCTTTCTGTACAAGACAGTATAATTTGGAACGGTTGAAATTCCGTGCAGCCTGAAAGCATAAACCCTCATGGAACTTGGCAACAAGTCCAACTAGTGGGGGTTCATGAGTGACTCCTACTCCGTGTTTGAATTTCACTTCATAGATTGCATTAGCATATTCGGACCCATAAGAAGACACCAATAAATATACAGATCTAGCTTCCCCTTGATTTATTGTCATTGATGCATCCTCCGAATCCACATGCAAGCTAGAGAGAGGAGAGATATACACAACAAGTCTAAGTTAATCTTTTCAAACACCTACCACCTACTTTAGTACTAAGCATAATATAGGCATAAATGCAAACAAAACAGTAAGAATGAAGAATCCATAAATAAATTTCTCCATTTTCCTACAAACTGTGAATGGAAGTGTAGGTGATGATAATTTCAATTCATAGAATATAACCCTGTTATTGGTCCAAGCAAGAATCTTTGAATAATTAAACATGCATGATGCATGCAGTGCAGCAACAAGAGAAAACTTACGGAAACTTGAATAAAAAAACATCAACATATTTACAGAGAAGCAAAAATTAAGAAGATAAAATCACTAAGCCATGCACTAACCTTGGGCAAACATTAACGTTCTCATGGTTGGGACTGCCGTCAATCACCGTGGAAATTGGAATGGACGTCGTTACGGGTGGGATGGGGCGTAGTAAGCGAAGCTCCTCCGTTATTGATTTCGTCCAATCGAACAGTTGTCCTAGAGATTTCTCCATCTCCGATACCTTGCCCGGAGAATTCTCCTCCATCTCCGATATCTTGGCCAGAGATTTCTCCATCTCCGATATCTTGACAAGGAGATCATCTTGGCGTGAAGCCATATGGCCTTGACCCGAGGTGAGCTTAGCGGCGGTGGAAGGTTGAGATTTATTCCGATGCCCCATGATACCGGATGACAGGGCCCTTGCTATTGAAATTCTAAAATGAGGCAAAGGGAATTTAGGGTCTGGGGATGCCGCGGCAGAAGCGGGTTTGGATATAATATGAAAGTTTCGATCTCGTCCAAAATTCTAGAAATAAAGATAGAAGAGCGGATCAGTAAAGTCTGAATTGCACAGCATGTATTTATATAGTGACCTAATTAATTTTGCTTAGAAACAGGAAACTCTCTTCTTCTTTTTTAAAGGAAAAAACAGGTCCAACAAAAAAATAAAAAATTTTCGGGAGGAAGAAACATGAACATTTAATATATATATATATATATATCTCAAGAAACAAGAAACTTATAAGAAGAAGAAACTAACAAATAATATATTAAGTATGAAAAGGATCAGGATACCAACTATTTTGTAAACATGACCTTTGAGGATGTTATGCCGCTTCCCAGTTTCTTTCTTTTGGCCTGATGTTACCCTTTTTATGTTTTTTGGGTTTTAGGGCCAATTGAGTAAGTGTTTTAGTTGAAACGCCTATATAAATTTACCTTCTTCTCTCCCTCCCTCCCTCCCTCCCTCCCTCTTGGATTTCTCTTTCACTCAATATATTTTATTGCTTCAATCGTTAATTAAAGGTGCAGCTGGACCTCTCTGACTCATATAGTTTTTGCTTCATTGTCCACAATAATCAAAGGTTACATTATGCTGTCTCATTATAATCTAATTTTTGCTTTCTTCTTCTTCTTTTTTGGGTTAAAGTTGTGTTTCTCGGTTTTATTATGATACTGTTCTTTTTTGAGCTACCAACTATGGTTATGCAAACTGATTAATATTTTTCTTGGTTGGTAATAGTTTGCAAAATTATCTCAAAAGAATAAAATTATGTTTGCAAATTAATCCATAGGGGCCTCTTCCACCTTCATATGCTCCCTCTCATAAGCTTTCTCTCATGCATTTTACTTTAAATCCAGCCACTATAGATTCTTTCAATGTTTTTTTTTTTTTTTTTTTTTTTTTTTTTTTTTTTTTTTTTTTTTTTTAGTTTATATTTACTCATATCTAGCACTAAAACTATAAATAAACCATACACCATTTAATTTCTATAAACATACCCAAAAAATGACAGCTGACCTTATTCAATTTAATTTTGATTATTAAATTACTTTAATGCCCTATTGAGAGTTTTGAGCTTTTTTATGAGGTTTTGGGGTTAGGTTGGTTTTAAGAAATCAATGACAGTTTTGTAATTTAAAAGAAGTTAAAAACTTTTTTGTTATGTTGTAAATGAGTTTTGAGTGTGTTTCTAAAGTCTATTTGATATAAGGTTTTTTTTATTAATAATTTGGGCTCCTATATTTGGTATAATAGTGAATCTCCCTTTTTTTTTTGGTTAAGATTTCACTAAGTTAACTAAAATAATAGTACTGTTTGTTTTGTATTTTGAAGATAAACTTGTTTTTTCAAATTTTATGTTGTGAATTTTCGTTGTTGTTTCCCTTTCATGTTGCATCCCTTCCCTACTTCCCTACTTCCTGTCTTTCCTTTTTCTTAAATTTATGTTAAAATTGTGTAAAAAAAATTTATGAGTTTATGCTTCATATAATCAATTATTATTTTTAAAGTATGCATCACATAACCTAATTTTTTTTGTCTTAAATTTTCATCTAATGGAAACTGACAATAATTTCTACCAATACGTCCAAGCTGAACCCAAAGGAGAGAGAAATTTTATAAAAGAAGCCAAAATGGACAAATTTGCCCTTATTTATTTTTGGATTTCCTAAGAAATCATTTCCACTTGCATGTCTTTGATTTGAAAGTTGAAAGGTTTTTCTATCTTTTTTGAAAAAGCTTTGGTTTTTTCCAAAAGTGAAAATTTTTTTATGGCTAAAACCTAAATTTACTATGAGTTAATTACTGTTGTAATGGGTGCTTGAGTCACCTTCTACATGTTTCACTTTAGTGGTGGAAAAAACTACTACGACGGGGAACTTTACTTTAAGGAAGATGATGATGATGAAATATGTGTGACATTTTTAAATATGGGCGATGGGGAAGAATCTGAAAGGACGGTTATTAAAATTTTTAAATTGATGACAAAAGTTTCTGATAGAAGAATTCTCCGACCATTGATGTTTGCATTTTGCAAACAGAAACCAATGGACGAGAAATACAATGCGGCTGGAATGGCAGATACGTTGGAAGGTTGGTGGAGTTTGTGCTTTGACAGGTTTGACATGACACTACCCGAGTGGTTAAACAAAGTAGCAAACAAGGAAATTACTGATGCTGATAAGGTGAATTTGTATGTTGGCAGGGCAAACATGGTTGTGGGCTCTACCATGGTTCTTTGAATGACCCGACCAATTACGTTTTTGTTGGCAACTCAAACTAATTAAAATCGGAGGTCGTTTGGATCGCCTTTCTGAAGTTGACCAATGTTCGAGGAAAATAACAGACTTCAAAAATTTTAGAAACTTGTTGAGGGGTTTGCTGGGACACGGTGGTCAATGGCGTGAGCGAGATAATTTTTTAAATTGTTTTGACACCGATACAAAGTTCAGGTGAGAGATTTTGAACAATTTTTCTTTTTCCAGGTGAATTATATCTAGTTAAATGTGTTCATGAGTTTTGTTTTTTCTTTTTCAGTTATACAATGTATGTACAAAAGTTGGTTCGCCACCCATTTTTATTGACTCCCGTTGATAGGTTGCGATATATGAGAGATACGCATCATGATCTTAACCAGCATTTGAATACCAAGTTGAACCAGAGTGTTGAGTTAGGAGTGTACATAAATTGGGACGGTCCTCTGGCTTATTCTGAGAGGTTTTTGTCTAGAGTCTATCATCATCGTCATCGTCAGGGAAACTATGATGTTTTGCTCCCAGCAGATCTTCTAAGGTTCCTATGTAATGTGCACAAACATTATAAGTCGTATGCTCAGAGGAAGAATGATGACGACGTGGAAGCTATAATCAGAAGGCATTGGCCTGATTTTTTGGATCAAGTTCATCTCCAGATTTAGATTGGAGCTCACAATTTGGGAAGATATGGTTTTGGTGGATGAGGCATGTAGTTCGTGAACAATAGCTTAGCATAAGTATTTTCTTTAGGTAACATCATGTTGGTAAAACATATAATTCATTTTTTTTTTGTTGAACAATTATTTAAGTTTTAATTATTATTATTATTAATTTTTTGTATTTTAAGTTTTAAAATATTAGAAATATAATTTCTGCTGCAAATGCAATATATTTCGAAGAACAATAACAAAGGATTCGGTGGAAATTTGGGGCTTTATATGTACACAAAAAAATGTAATTGACTAAAGAGGTGAAAGGTTACCCTACAAAAAGGTTCCCATCTGTTGAATAAAAAAGTTAGTAGATAAGGAAGGGGACAAAAATAGTACGCTGCTGCCGCAGGATAACTAGATATTCAAATAAACTAATATGATGTTGTTTGTAAGAAATACAAATACTATAATATAATATGATGTTGCAGTAACCATTTCCTCTGAAAATTTTTACTTGCAATGACAGGACCTGCCCTGGATTTTGTCGAAAACCGAGACGAATCCCGTCGTATTACAGACATCACCCCAATGCCAGACTCACTTACTAAAGACCGAGACTTTCTACCAAAAATTTTGGCAGTCTCTCTTGTAAATTAAACATTTCCCAAAATTTCAACATGTTAAAAACATAGTTAATATAACCCATATGGAAGAGTTTGGTTTAATCCTCGAATTTGGTGGTTTTAATCTAAGTCCTCCGACTTTTGTGACACAGAAGATTGCATTCATTTTTTTGATTTTTTGATACTATTATAGTGTTCTTCTCTAACTTAATGTCACATTAAAAGTTTTTGCACTTGGGTTTGAGTGGCAATAATGATACGCTATTCATTACATATAATGTCTAAAAATTTAACATACATAATATTTATTCAAATTTCTCTTTTAAAAACGAGACAAAACAGAACCCGATTTTATTATTATAATACATGTCTGAAGCCCACCATGAGAATTGGTAGAGCCCAAACCAATCTAAAACGCAATACCCAAAAAAGAAAAAAAAGTTTTTTTTTTGGGTGAAAAAAAAAGAAAAAAAAAGAAAAAGTTAAGTTTGTAGACTTTTGTATTATATTTTAGGTTGTTACTTGTAATATTAGGTTTCTTAGTATGGTTCTGAATTTACTCCTTGTAACAGTGGGATTAAGACTAAGCCTAGATGTGTGTATATATAATTCTTCGTGAGATGAATAACACACAACTATATTAAACCAAATAGTATTTTATTCACCGACGAGAAAAAATAAATCAAGTTAATTTCAGATGGGTGCAGAGTCGGGTTTGGGGGTTTTTTTGTTCTGTTAAAATAGTTGCGAAACTTCTGGACTTGTTGGTGAGTTATTCTCGACAGCCGTTTACATAACCTAACAGAGCCTCAGATCTTCCCCGCGCTCGCTCTCCCTTTCTCTGAGCAGTTAGCAGCAACTGTACCAGCAAGAAACTGAACCCGCCCTGCACACGCATAGAAAAAGAAAATAATTCAAAAAGCAAAAGCAATTCTTCACAAATTGATTCATAGACCATGAGCATCGAGCCTTTCAACAAGTACTCGTTCTTCAACTCCTAGGGTTTCTATGATCGATTTTATCAATTTACTTTCGCATTAAACCCTAGAGAAAATTAATTTTGTTTTCTGATTCTGTTTTTCTCTGCTTTCAATTGGACTTAGGTTAGTGAAACTTGTGGGGAGAGCGTTCTACGACGACATTACCAAAGGAGATAATCAGCCCAAGACCGGCCGGAGCGACAATAGGGGAATCGCCGTGGTGGTGCTCGATGCCCTCTCTAGGTTTGGGATGTTAATTTTATTAGTTTTTCGAATAATGGAAACTTGTTTTCTGTTAGTTTGAAACTTGAAAATTTAAGTAAAAGAAAAACGCACAATTGTAGAAATAGGGAATGAGAGAGTATTCGTAACTACTATTATTGACTGAATAATTAGAGAGAATGTGAATTAGGGTTGGTGAAGTGGTGTAGTGAGCAGCTATTTTGGCTGAATTTGTTTGGTAATTTGATTATTTGATTGTGCCAAACTTCAAAAACTAGTTCAATATCCATATATGTAATCATAAGCATTGCCATGAGTGTTTCTGCAAAAATAAAAGAGATATTTCCATGTGTATTGCTGAGAGATGGCACGTGTGTGTGTTTGAGAGTGAAGGTGTGGAAGCTCTTTTAGTTCATCATTTGCGTTTTCTTGCGGGTAATATTTAGATTTTTATTATGCCAGACGACAATGGGTCAGAGAAGAGGATTTGGCAAAGGACTTGAAACTGCACTCAAAGCAACTTCGTCGTACTTTGCGATTTTTTGAGGAGGAAAAACTGGTCACCAGAGATCATAGGAGAGAGGTTATTTTGTTGATCTTAGTTATTGTGTTTTATTGTAATACTTTTTGGTTACTAGTTCGTTTGGTACATATGGAACAGTTTTTTCATATCATCTTGCTTCAAAAAATTTAATTTATTTCAAGCATAAGCAGGATATTAACAACATGGTATATCTTTTAGGTATCTTTCAATTGTTTGCACCTTTAATCTCATTTTAGGTTATACAAGATGATTCCCTTCCTCCATGCCACACCAATTCATTTTTCGAAAAAACAATTCTTAATTAATATAGTTCGTGCATTGTGGTTGTCCTAGTTGGCCATTTGAGCTTCATTTGATGAATAATAGTTTTTTTCTTTACATATAGAAAGGATGAAGTCTAGTAATTTGTATGGAGCAAATCTTACTTCTTGTTGATGTTAGAAATGCATTAACAACCTGCCCTATTGCACCCTTTATGTATTTCTATTCCTTATATCATCAACTTTGCAGACAGCTAAGGGTGCGAAGATGCATAATGCTGCTGTTGCTGCCACGATTGATGGGCTACCTGCAAAAGAAGGGGAAGAGAAAGTTAAGATGCACACTCACTCTTATTGCTGTCTGGACTATGCACAGGTGGCTTTTATATATTTGTGTATATGTTTATACTTATTTTTAGCTTGATAACCGTAAACAAAATTAACATTTAGTTCAATAACTATATTGTGAGTGGAGTGATGTGGCAGGATAGGCAAAATGACCCATTTTTAGTTTTCCTTGTTCAAACTTCAACTTGACGTTTCAATTTATCAGAGATTTATCAAATATTGGCTTCTATATTTGGTCAAGGCCTGAACTCGAATGTGTTTCAGATATCCGATGTGGTGAGGTACAGAGTGCAGCGTATGAAGAAAAAACTGAAAGATGAATTGGAGGACAAGAACACTGTTCAGGAATATGTATGCCCTAACTGTGGGAAAAGGTTTCAACTGTTTCTCCTTTTTCCTCTGTGTGTTTCTGTGTGTTCCTCATTTTGATACTTGAATTATGCATGCAAGCACAAATCTTTAGATACAACGCTTTAGATGCATTGCAACTGATTTCTATGGAGGATGAGTACTTCCACTGTGAAAGTTGTAACGGGGAACTTGTGGCTGAGAGTGACAAGCTAGCTTCTCAAGAAGTCGGAGATGGAGACGACAATGCGAGGAGGCGACGACGTGAAAAATTGAAAGACTTGCTTCAAAAAATGGAGGTTTGTTTAGTTTATTTTTCCTTCTTCATGTTTTCTTGTAATAACTATCTTAGAATTTTATTGTTCCCACTTTGTTTTCTTGAGTGTGATATGCGGTGTTCTATGACATATATTTGTCAATATGAAAAATGCAAGGAAACATTTAAACGAGTTAACTATCTGAAATTCAAAGAAATTTATTTCCAGACGGTTGTTGCAAGGCATTGTCCCTATCGTTTTGCATGGGTCTTTTATGATCCATCTTGCTCACCTAAATAGATGTGTAGTTAACATGATCCTCTTAAGGGCAAGTAATACACATGTTGATGATTGGGCTTCTAAAGCACTCCAATCTCTTGACATATGTACGGTGCATTACTTGCACTTGTAAACTCAAGGATGACTTTGCTGGTCTTCAGCTTGGCAACCACTGATTATTGCTAATTTTCTATGGTTATGCTAGCTTTACCATTCTTCTTGTTTGTGTTTCTGCGGCTGTTGTCATTCGAGTTGATGTCTAACTTAAATTGTTGCTTGTTACCTTACTTCATGTATATTCTGATGTGTCCATTTTTTTTTATGAGTTGATATGGTGAAATGAATGCAGGCACAACTAAAGCCTATATATGATCAACTTAATAGAGTTAAAGACTTACCTGCTCCTGAATTTGGAGGTCTCCAAGCTTGGGAAGCGCGAGCAAGTGCAGCTAAACGTGCAGAGAATGGTGAATCTAATGGCATGGATCCCTCCAAATCTTCTCATGGGTTGGGATATGGTGGAACACCAATGCCCTTTCTTGGAGATACAAAGGTAACCCCTCCCTCCAGACTTTCAGTTGTATAATTTGTTATTGTTGTTGAAATTGCGTAGCTAGACCACTTATAAGCAGGGTGAATAGGCTTTTACCAAATTTTAATTTTACCCAATTCAATCTAGTTTAAAAACAAATAAATCAATAAGCAAGAAAAATAAAGTGCTCAACAATTTTAACTTGGAAAAACTCCAAGATGGGATTAAAAAACCATGAGCACTTCGCCAGGCAGAAGCTATCCACTAAGATTACTTTCATGGCTTTCCTTCGTGCTTATGTGGTAGTGAATGACTTTGCAGCTTTACTTGTATGTTAGGGAAGTTTTTTTATACCAATGTTTGACAGTTTTGACTTAATATTTCTGAAGTGAAAGTGAAAGGTGTATTGATCAATTGGTAAAGGAATCTTCCTTCATGTTGGTCGTCAAGAAAAACAAATGTACTTTTGTCCAGCATTGTATGATCAGAGAACACCCGCGATAATTAGCCAAAGTTTGTGGACAGTAAACTAAATAAAACATGAAAATCCATGACACTTTAAGAAATAATGGGAACATAACTATCTTCTATCATCTTTTTTTATATATATAAAAAACCTATCTTCTATTAAGCATAGAAACCGAACAAGCAAAGAAAAGATAAAATAACTAAAATTCAAAGCAAACACTACCCAAGCGAAGTTGGCTAGCCGACCCCACTTAATCTTGGAATGCTTTGTAAATCAAGTTGGATTCCTTTGATAAACTTATGGCTGGAACTTGGCAGGTTGAAGTTGACTTTTCTGGGGTTGAAGGCAAGGGGAAGGATATCAAATCTGAAGCTGATGGTGCAGGCCTGAAAGTTTTGCCACCTTGGATGATCAAGCAAGGGATGAACCTTACAAAGGAACAACGTGGAGAGGTCAAGCAGGAGGCAAAGATGGATGGCAGTGGCAGTTTAGCAGCTCCAGAATACTCAGAGGACAAAAAGTTTAATACTGAAAACAATGACAAGAATTTACAGGTTTGTGGAATGATCTGTTTTCTTTCTTGCTTTGAGATGTCCCTCTTACCCCCACAAAAATAAAACAGGAAAAAGAAATCTAAATTAACGGTTTCTTCATTGTTTTATAGGATGAGTACTTGAAAGCTTATTACGCTGCTTTAATAAAAAGACAAGAAGAAGAAGAAGCAAAGAAAGCACTGGAATCCTCAGAAACACGCGTCTCTGATGGCCCTTCCGGAATGTCTCCTAGCCGTCAGGTCGGCATGAAATCAAAGCGTGATGAGGATGAAGGAGATGATAATGTGGAATGGGAAGAGGCTCCAATTACAGGTAAATGTTATTGTTTGACAATCAGTGCTGAATTTCAGCTTGATCTTTAATTTGAATCTTCATCCTCCTTTAATTCAGTTCATGTTAACAGCAATAGATGCGTTGATTTGTCATGTGTGTGCATATTCCCGTTTTTGATTCGCAGTTCATGTGTATATAGAAGTTCAATTGGTGACATACAACGCAGTTGTGACAGATTCTTAATTAATGTGCTTGGATATATAGTAACTTATTTACTTTCAAAGAAATCTTTAAAAACTTGCCTGCTTTCGTGTTTGTGCGCGTGTGTGTATGTGTGAGAGAGAGAGAGAGAGAGAGCGCGCTCTGGTCATGTGAGCTTGCTCTGTCGACGTATCTGACATACACATATACACACACAAAAACTCTGACAGGCTGCCACCTTTTATCTCGTAAAATGAGTTAGCCACTAGCAACATTGGTATCTTGCTGATAATTGGATTAATTTTGCTGAAGGAATTTTCTTTTAATATATTATTCTACGTAAGTGTTCAATCTCCATTAGTTTGTATGAATTTGTGGTGTCCATTGACGTTGTTCCCTCCGTACACCCACTACAGGTAATGAAGAAAATTTCAAGGTCAATGACTTGAATGTGGAAGCTGATGCTACAGCAGAAGCAGAGGCAGAGGATGAGGATGATATAGACTGGGAGGAAGGCTGAAAGTGCGACGACAGTATTACATACTTTCATGGACTCGTCCTCATCCTTCGAAGGATTTGTATACATTGAACTTTGTGTTGGTACTGTTAGGATTTAGGACTGACTGCTGTAATTTTAGTGAAAATATCATCAGAATTAGTATAATTTATGGAATTGTGTGGACATTCTATGCTTGAGAATTATAGAAATTGCTACTTCACTTCATTCCCTCGCGCAGAATTTAAGTCATTTTCACTGCCCCCTGTTTTTTAATGTTTTCATATAGTTTTATTTTTTTTAAAACAAAATGTGAAGTCAATTGTGGAATAAAAGATTTGTAAAAATAAAATTACCAATTGTGCAAGAATTATAATATATTTGACACCTATGCACGCCTTGGGTGCGATGTTTCTGTTGTTGAATTTGAAAGGGAGTGGTGGTACATAACATTAGTGGGTGGTTTTCTTTCTAAATCTCTTTTTAAGTTGGTAATCATCATTGTCGAATCTTTGAGATGGCCAACAACTCGTTTGAACTTTGTGCTTAAGGGGTTCCCAAAAATAGTGTTAAAAGTAAAAAATCTAAGGTCAATAATATCATCCAAGAAAAGTAGCTGATGTCAGCTGCCCACGTGGTAAATAGTAGTGAGCATTAGATGTATGAGTTGAAAAGAAATGTAAAGAGTAGAGAGGTTATCTGCCCATCTCATCTCATCTGAGTCTCCATGGTCTAGCCGACAAGAGGCTCTCATTTTGCGAAAAAAGGGAATTCAAAGTCCATGGCCGCTCCCGGAAGATATGCGAGAGAGAAGGTCCAGAGGGGATAATGCCTTTGGAGGTCGTGTTTGCACGCATAACCATATTGGATCTTTGTGTTTGGTAAATTGCTAGTATTGCAGTTGCTGGTCATTTCATGTCATGCCCCAAAAAAGTAAAGCCCTTCGTGCACAGGACAGGTGTATTATAATTCATTTAACATGATTATGGAATTCTTTAGAACGATTTACCAACAAACGTGAGATTGGATTCCGCTAATCGGAGAATATTTAAAACATATTATAGGGATTTGTAACTCAAGTGATTAAGTGTTTATTCAGTAGTATCTGTGGTTGTGTGTTTTATTTGCTTGTATTCAAAATGAAAACAAATAACCTATGGTGTATAACCGAAAATTTCAATGAAGTAAATTCTACATGATGCGTTTTGCAAGATATAATGAGGCTCACCTCAATGAAGAGAGGTATGAGAAAAAAGTTGAGTTGAGTTGTACAGTACTTTTTTAGGCAAACTTTTGTTGTTTAGCTAAAACTTGAAAAGAGGGTGATAAAGATAAAAAGAAAGAGTATAAGAAAAGGAATTGTTTTCTCCCACGTAACTTAGCGTGTATTTAACATAATTATAGCATAAATGTAGCTAAGTGTGTGAATAAACAGTGGTTTGTGTGCATGATTGATTGAGTCAATTGTTAAGCTGATTCCAGATGGGGGGAAGACAGCTTCAAGGTCTCTGTGTGTTGTTCCCATTCCATCCTCTCATCTCAAGACACTAGTTTAGGTCAAACTAAGCTTAGCTACCCCTTATGTCATATTCAATTTATAAAACATATATAAAGTGGAAAAACTTTCAGTCAATCTTCAAATTGGAATTGGGTCCATCTCATCAGGAATTTAATTTTGCTAGGTTAATCGACAAAAGAAATCTCAAATTATGCAAATATTGCTTACCTAATATGTTCTTTTTTATAATACGAGCGATACAATGAAAAGAGATTTCTCACACACAATACTAACATATTATAAGGGTTCGAACCTCAAATTACTGATCTACAAATCAAGAGTATTTTCCACTATACTAGAAGCCGTTGGCTTCTCTAATATGTTCTTATATCACCTTCCTCTCCTCCATCTCCATGTTAATTAATCCTGTTTTGAGTAGATGAAGTAAATGTATATTTTATTAATTAAAGGTGTGTTGGCCTAGCGTTGTGTAACAGTAATGTGACATAATGACAGCCCATATATTTTCATATTTCTTGGGTCACAGCAATATATAAATCAAAGTTTGACAAAATTTCACTTGAATGGCCTAATTAATTGGTTACTTGAACGCAAAGGAAGTTTCATTGGAAGAAGAATGCTCGACAATGCTGCCCCCCCTCTCCGCATCAACTGGTCTTTGCCCTCCAAACCTTTATTTATTTGAAGCACTAAATAAACCACAATCTTCTGCTTCTTCTTCTTCTTCTTCTTCATGTTGTTGCTAAGCTTGTAATTATTCCTCCACATTTTTGCTGTCAAAAACTTCCAAAACCCTCCAACCCCACATTTTTATCTGATCAAATTCTCTCTTCTGTTATTTTTCCTCCATGCACTGCTCTCTAATTTTCTTCCACTATTCTCTCCCCCACTACCACCATGCCTTCCAAGCTTTTCTCTCTCCTTTTTAGTCTCATGCTTTGGCTCTCTTTGCTCTTGTTTTCTGTCCATGGTTGGTTTCATATCGTTTCCAATAACAGCAGCACTGACCACCTTAACCCTACCGCTACTACTACTACTCAGCCATATTCTCTCGGCTCTCATCATCGCCAAACTTTGAGAAACCGGAAAGCACTTGTCGCAGCGAAATTCGACTTCACCCCGTTTGTCCGCCGGCATCACCAACAGCATCGCCTTAACAGACATGTGCCAGAGCGCCCTGAGCCTGGCGGAGCCGAGATAGACCCTCGTTATGGTTCTGAAATGCGCCTTGTTCCCACTGGTCCAAACCCATTGCACCATTGACAAGGTTTCTTTTCTTTTTCTTTTTAAAATCCACAAACGCAGATTTTGTGTATTCATGTTATTGTAATCAACCCCTTCATTCTTCAACCCCCCACCCAAAAAAAAAAGGAAAAGAAATCCCATAATGTGTAGTGAGATATTTATGAAATTAATTATTACTTGTATCATTTGTGAAAACTCCACCTTCAGATTAATATTAAATTTTGTTTAATCAGATCACCATGTGCCTTACTAATCAAAGTGAATGAGTACTTTGGCTGTCTCTACAGAAATTAAGGAAAGATCGATCTCACTGAATTACATGATTTCTTCTTGGCTTGGCTGTCTCTAATGTAATAATTAATTAATTAAGTAATTAACCCATTAATATAATTAATTAATTATGGTATGAAAGCAACTGGAGTGGTTGTGACGGCACGGCACGTCAAATTGTCACGGGAATCGGAACACATGAAAATTATATTAGTATTTTATTTGTGAGCAGAAGGAAGGAGAGAGCAATTCGAAATTAATAAGATTTATAATTTTGTATTTCCTGATGCATGGCTGATGCAAGGCTTACTTAAAAAGGGTTGACTTAAGGCACACATAATTAATTAAGTTTATAATATTAAGATTTGAAGCCCATATGACTTGATTGATGACAGGTCATCATCATCTCATTTTCGTTTGAGTGTTTGAGTGTCTGAGTGTTTGAGTGTTTGAGTGTCAGAGTGAGAGCTTGAAAGGGACGGGATCTTCTCATTTTCAACATGGAGGTTGGCATTCCAGAAACTCTAAAGAAAAAAGAAAGAGAAAAGTCAAATATGTTAAACCACATGTTCTCTCTCATTAGACTTTTGCATTATCTGCGGCTAATCTCGAGGTCACACGTGGTCAATGCTCATTGGGCTTTGGGAAAATTATGATGGGCTTGAAAATTTCAGAAAGTAGAAATTGTTCTTTTGGGTTGCGATTAATTTGTTGGCTTTGGTTGGGTTGGACTTCCTATAAGGTTAGTGGCCGCACCCACACCGCCAAAGAGGTGGAAGAGGCTAGGAATGAGGATTTTCCCTAGGAAAAAAAAAATTATATGTTTATATGTATACCAAAGTTCCAAAAAGAATATTCGATCTTAGATTTCTTATGGGATAACATAAAATGAATCAACAGACGGCCTAAAAAAAAGTTATTTCAAACGGCGGTCCAATTTGATAAAGGAGAAATGAGGCCACATATTTTAGGCATGGACCAATTTGGACCAAAATACTAGCCCGCTAATAACTTGGTTGGGAAGTGGGAATTATTGCGGGTTTTGGCCCAAATTTCTGAATTTGGGTTTGAGAAACCTGAAGTGATTGTTCTGGCATAGGCTAGGGTTGCCTGCATTGGAGACCATTCTATAGTGAGGGTTTTATATATGATCCTTAGGTGAGGTCGAATCTCTTAGGGCTTGTTTGGGAGTGCTTCTTCTCGAAGCGCTTATGCCAATAGTGTTTATGCCCGAAGTGCTTATGACATAAGCGCTTCTACAAAGAAGTAGTTTGTTGTTTGGATGTCACATTTAAAAGTGCTTTTACACTATATAAAAGCGTTTTTGATATTTTGTTGAGTGTTTGGCTGACTTTATAAAAGTGCTTATAAAAGTACTTTTAAAAAATGTAAAGAATCTCAAAATATTATAATAAATATAGGAAATTTAAAAAAAGAGAAAAAGAAAAAAGAAAAAGAAAGAAAGGGTATTTTGGCATTTACAAAAATTAAATAAGGATATTTTCGATATTTTAAAAGTTTCATTAAAGGGAGCCAAGTGCTTTCCTTGTTTTTGTCCTGGAGCGCTTTTAAGAAGAAGCACCTCTCAAGTGCTTCTTCCAAAACCACTCCAAGTGCTTTTGGATCTCACCTAAAGCGCTTTTGCAATTTTTGCCAAACACCATTTTTAAAAGACAGAAGCGCTTTCACCCATTTAAAAGCGCTTTTCGCTACTCTAAAAGCACTCCCAAACGAGCCCTTAATCGTTTGATCAAATTGGTTAGCGGTTAAATCAAATTAGTTAGCCTGATTTTTTATGAAGGAAAAAGGCAAACTCATTTACTTTAAGCCCAAATGGCTCAACTAGACAAAATCAGAAAATTTGAATTTGATAAATAAATAAATATATATATATATATATATGGGAGCCCAAAGCCAACATATCCTTTTCCTTTGCACATTTATATATTTTCTTGTAGATTTGTGGATGGTAAAATTATTTATCCGTGGTCATGATTCATTTGTATGTATGTATCAAGATTATTAATTGCATGCAGGCTAGCTCAACCGGCATCTCCAACTTTTCCTGTCAATTTTGAGGCCAAGTAAAGTGATTATGCCATAATTAAGAGGTACCTGCCATTATTATTCTCATGATTTAATTTGTATACGGGCAGGTACCTCTTATTAATTATGGAAAATAAAGAACATTGATCTCCTTTAAATTGGTGATTGATTGGTAATTTGGTCCAATACATGCGTGAATCATGGAATCATGGAAGGCAGCCTACCACTACCCCTTACCCCTTAAAATGATCCATGGTTTCAGTTTGACAAATTTGGCCTCATGCTGCCCAGGCAGGGATACTTCTCAATTTGAAGTCCTCCCCGTAATTCACAATTCTCACCACGCCATTATGAAAACCCCACTTTTTCTTTGGTTTTTTCCCTTTTCACATTTGTATATGAAAACCAATATATTTTGGGAGCTTTGCTGTCTCTTTGTGCGGATAAGATATCTCCAAAGAGGACGGTGGTGGCTTGTAGTGGATTAATCTCGTCCCACTAAAGTTGCTTAACATAATAAACATGGCACGACGCAAGTAACCATCCGAATTATATCTAAGAAACAATAACATTATGGACATCAACCTGTTTACCATAGATATAGACAAATGATTAGCTTTAGACTTGGGAGTTATTAGGTAGCAAAAATCCAATTTGGAATAATTATAATAATAATAGTGGAAGTGTTTGACAAGATTTGAGGTGTGCAAAGATTTATGCTTCGTGAGTCATGATGATGATAAGTAAGTATACAAGGAAGCAAGGAAGGAAGGAGATAATGGTTTTAAAACAGACACCACCAGAAAACCAAAAAGAAAAGTCTTCAATATGAAAAGGGCGAGCGAAAGAAAGACCTCGTCGGTCAGTCAGAATTTCCATTCCAAGTTGCAAATAATACTTGGTCCAATAATCTACTTTATGTAGGACCTCAGCAGCAGCACCTGCAAACCAATAGTTATTGCAGGCTTCACTGAAACTACTTGCGGGTTGACTCAACAACCACTTGTTCCTCACTTCTCTCGTTGCTCCAATATCATTCATATTCCTACCACCAGTAAACAGGATCTTCAATCCTTTTACACCCAAAAAACAAACAATTTCCTCAATCTATTGTCTACACTGACCCATCTCACGACCCAACAAGTATACGCGTTTGACGATTTGATTTCTTGAACGAAAAAATGTAATATAGTAAGAAACAAATGCACATCTTGTACACATGTTATAATATTGATAGACGACAAGCTTTATTTTTTCTTTTTAAGGAATAGTATTAATAAATATCCATTTATATTATAACACGCGTACAAAATTTACTGCATAAAGGTACTACTGTAGTATTCTATAATTACTCCATACCAATACTTCAGCTTCAAGAAACATCTACTCAAGGAAAGTTGGTAATTCTCTACCAATCTTTTGGTAACAAATTTTAAATGCAATCCTAATCTTCATTGTCAATTCAAATTAAGGAAAGAACATAAGCAAAAAAGGAATTTCCAAATACGATGCATGAATTTAGGGTTTAGGAATTTCCTGGCAATATAAATGTTTTGCGCACCACCCTTTCATGAATCATTTCTCTCTCTTTTATAGTTCTACATTACCAAACTTGAATAAAAACTAGTGCAAGTCAACCCGAAATTCACCAGTTCACCCCCAACTATCCATCCAAAAAAAGAATATAAAAAAAGCTACCGGCAATAACCGGTCACCTAAACTCACGCTTCACCTATATATATAATACATACACACCACCCCCACTTGAGACCAATAAACACCGCAAAATATCCCACCCCGCCATTTTCCGCTTTCCTCAAAACACAAAAACAACGAACACATGGACCGTCGTCTCCGTACAGGCACGGAATATCCCAGCTCGGACTGTCCGGCGCGCCTGAAATCCAAAGCCCGGATGATCAACTCCGTCTCCGCTCTGGTCGACATAGCCAGCCGCCTCTCCAAGAAGCTCAAGGCTAAGCCGAGGAGCGCTAATAACTCGAAAATCGTCCCCAAGTCATCGCCGATGAGGAAGCCGAAGCAGCTGATGTCGACCATAAGCAACAAGGCGATCACGTTCCTGCACAGGAAAAAGATTGGCGAGGAATCGGAGGGCGCTCACCTCGAGGATAAGGAGGAAGAGTGGGGGAACGGCGGGGTCTGGCAGAGGTCTATCCTGATGGGGGACAAGTGCGAGCCGTTGGATTTTTCGGGCGCTATTTATTATGATAGTCACGGGAACCAGCTGAACGGAGCACCTCTCCGGTCCCCACGTGCGAGTCCCTTGCCTGGGTACCTCGAGAGGGCCGCTCATAAGAGAAACTGAAGAAGTCGCCGTTGAATTTCAAATATATCATCGGAGAAGAATGAAAATTAAACAGAATGTTTATGTTAATCTTCTCTGATTAATTGTTGTGTTAATTAGTCTCTCGTTTTGTAGTTTCTTGGTAATTTCACGATACTGTTGTGTTGTGACGTGTCACACATGTGTGTTTTTTGGCGGGCGGGGGCTTGTTGTATGGGGTTTAGGGGCCACAGATGACGTACGACGTCGTCGCCGTCGGATTTTGGTAGTTGAACGTCCCCTGTATGAACAGGGGCTGGGCTGCTGTGTACATATATCGGAGGAGACATTTGGATTTTGGCACCATTTTAAATTGTGGGTGACTAGTTTTAATAAAATATATGGCCTTGTGTGTTCTTTAGTGTTCATTACCAAATGAATGTGTGGTTGGATTCTAAACCAAGAAAGTAAGTAATACCATAATGTGTTAGGGAAGTTTTTGGTTACCAAATAATCTGATATGTTATGTGACTATACTGACTCATCACGCGTGTTGGATGTTATATCTATTTATATCGTTAAATTCTATGTGAAGCATATATGCTATTGAAAATGTATCCATAACATGTTGTTTAATATAGAAACATATCTGCCGCATGTTATTTAATAATAAACAAATTTCTATAACCACATAAAAAAAACCACTCTAATATGTTATTACTATATGCATAGGCCCCATTGTGATCCACTATAAACTTCATGGGTCTCAAAATTGTGCGATGATCATGTTCGAATATTATTATTACTCTTTTTGGGTTGAGTTGAAATTTGAAGACATCATATTCCATGGTGCTCTCTTCTATTATCATTATCTTTAACGAAGGGCCAAGGTGGAGAGAAGGGGCAACAAATTCCTCTCCTATCATTTCAAGTCAGCCTCCATAAAGCTGCTGCTATAAAATATATCTATCTAATGAACATGAACGCTTCAAACTTAATTATTATTCTTTAATTAATTTAGTGTTTATATTAAGAAAGGGCGTTTTGTCTGTGGTGTGTGTGTGGTCATCTCGAAACGAAAACCATGCCTTCATTTGCTAAACCAAAGTTGCGTGCGTATAGAGTAAATTCAAGTTCTATATGGTTGGCAATGCATTATATTAATGAATTGATTCTGTCTTAGACTTGAGACACTGGTTTTTGGTATTTAATGAGAAAAAGATACGAGGGAGGGGAGTATACATCAACGACCAAGTCCTCGTGTTTGACTTTGCTAGGGTCAACTGTGAGCAACTTTTGGGGAAAATCAGTTTCATTTCGTTTTTTCTTTTTTGTTTCAGAAAGAGAACATCATTTATATGTAAAAAGATCTGTGTTCAAACTTGAGTACAAAAAACGGACCGCTATTTTTTCTGCCTGGACCAGGAGACACGTCATTGATTTGTTACGCTATGAAATTAAGTATTGCGTCTGTTTAGTAAAACATAATACTTTGACATTTATTGTGGTCATATATCAAACTATAAAAAGCCACCATATTCAATTTTATGCTTTGGTCAAACCAGATCAAATATCATTTATATGTTTTTTTAATTCTTCTGGTTTCGAATTTTCCGGTTCAAATAAAATTTTAAAATACTCACAAAAACATAAAAGAGAAAAAAGGAAGAACAAGATTGCACCACGAAAACCCATAACTGAAACAATCAACAGCAGCGCAGCCCAGACCAGGTACTGAACCCAATAAAGCCTTTAAAATTCGAGCCCAAAAAGATTTATATATATTAAAAAAAAACAAACAAACCAAATACCAGACATGACACGTAAGGAAAAAAACCCGGGTCCAACATATCTGCAGGCTCAACAATAAACCGGACCGGTGCAAAAAACAAAATTAACCAAAAAATATATAATTTCCCAGCTAGATCGAACGGTCCTTAAGCTCCAGGAGCAGCATCCTTCACCTTACTATGCAAATACCCACCGTACTCTCGAGCATAATCCTTCACATGGCTCGCCGTGTCGTAAATCCGGCTCCTCGCATAGTCGACCCGGTCCGAACCGGGCGGGTGCATTCCCTTGAAGTACCTGTACATCCAAGATGAAACGGCCACCGCCGCCGCTCCGAACCCGCACATGGAGACGAACCCGGCGACGATCAGGAAGAGGAGGCCGCCGACTGGGACCCATATGGGGCTGGAGATGATGATTAGAGGCGTGAACAAGATCAGGCCCAGAATTGTGGCGGTGACGGTGAGGCCGGTGAGGAGGAGGAGAATGGCGCCGGAGACGAGGAGCGTCAAGAAACCGACGAGCTGGGTTGAGTTCGGGGCATGTCCTTGGAGTCTACGTAGGAATGTGGAAGCATTTGTAGAGGCCGGGTTGTTGGTGTTGGTGGGTCTTGGGGCTCTCTGCGGTTGCTGTTGCTGGGTTTGTGTTTGGTTTTGGTGACGGTCCGCCATGGATGATCGAGAGAGAAGTGAAGCTAGTGAGAGAGAGGTGCGGGATATTAAGAAAGAGGTGATGGGGTTTCAAGGGACAGGTGTGGGGAGGATTTGAGGTTGGAGACATGCAGGGGGACACGTGGAGGGAGACAAGTTTGGTGTGTCCTAGATGAGTGTTGGAGACTACTTGACCTTTTCTATGTCTAAGAATTCGGTGGGGGATTCTTGTGTGGTGCAGGTGCAGGTATACTGTCCAACTTTATGCGTATAATTAGATGGTGTTTTGGTTGATGATCTAGATGATTGAGATAATTAAGATATACTTAATGGCTTAATCTTGGTGAGCTGAATTAATAGCATAAATGGAGGAGGAGGCCTAGCTAGCTGTATAATATGTAAGACAGGCAACTAAGATGAAGAGGAGCAAAAATAATGCAGCAACAAAACCCACAACATTATTTATATCCACCTTGTTCTCCTTCTCAGCAACAAAATCCACACAAGGCAAAGGCATGCTCTTTTTGTTCAACCCTACTTCTGTGTCAGCAATTTCAGAAATGTTGCTGTCATCTTTGGTCAATGTGGGATTTGTTGCAGGAACACTCACTTCTGGTGATGAAGGGTCTTCTTCTTGTGTCTCTCCCTCAAATTCAATCTTGTTGTAATTTTGGGTTGAATTCATTAATACCCTCTGATGGTCAAATGGCTTTGGCATAGAGTATTGATCTGTTGTTGATTTGACTGAATCACTAAATGAGACTCTTCTCCTCCCTCTAGATGAACTTGTTGGTGTCTTGGAGGATGGAGAAGAAGAACTGGTTCCACTGTCACCTTTGTTTCTCAGAATGGAAGTCTTCTTCACTGGAACCATTGATGTGGAAAACCTGCGAACCAGACCTTTCTTGCTTAGGGAGTTTCCTCCAGAAGACCTATCTGATAATGAAATGGCATCTGACTCATCCTTGCTTCTTCCCCACCTCTTAATTCTATGTATGAAACCAGATATCTTGTTGATACTTCTTTGGCTACTTGAAGAGGAGCTGTCAATGGTGGTAGTCTCAATTTCATCGCTCAAACTAGTTGAAGATGTGTGAGAAGAAGGGCTATAGTAACTGGGATTTGATGATATGAATGGTTCATTTTTCTCATGAGATTTATGGCTTGAACTGTTGTGGATTTGGGTTTCAAATCTCAAGCAAGTGTAGAGCCAGCGCTGGTACACACGTTCTTGGACCATTTCAAATCTGTTTTTCTGCAGCCTTTCAAATTGCCTTGAGAGGTCCGCATTGGTATGCCTCAACCTGCTTATTTCTTCTTCAACCTTGGCAACGGTTTCACTCTGCAAGAAAAACATATGGTGTGTGTTATAAATTTTTAGCTAGTGTTTCAAGTAAAGAAGCCCTCTGTTTCAATAAATTTGTTAAGCCTAAACTAATAAGAATTTATATCAACCTCAGTCATGCTGGACAGGGTACTTATTCTGGCTTCAGCAGAGACCAACTTGACTGCCAATTCCCTCTTTTCTAGCTCAAGCTCTTTGTTTCTCCTCTTCATCTTTAAAACTTCCAACTCAACATTTTTAACAGCTTTGAGCTTCTTCTCAGCTATGGCATCTCTGACTGAGATTTCATCCTTGGGAAAGCTGGAAACTTGTTCTTCTATCACCAACAGCCTTCCCTTCATAATGCTGCTCTCATTAGAATCCATCTTCTTCTGCATTTCTGCTATCATCTTCTTTGCCATCTCCAGCTGCTTCTTTGCCAAAACACACTGCTTGGCATCTTCCTGAAGAACCTTCCTCTCAGCCTGCAAAGAAGCAATGGAGACATTAAGCATGCCAATCTCTGCAGACTTGTCCTCCATATGCCTTTGCAAGTGAGCCATGTACGATTGCTCTTCTTTCAGAACACATAATTCTAGCAGTTTCTTTTCAAGCCTCACTTTCCTCTGCTGCTGCTCCTTTACCAAGAGCTCTATTTCACTCAGACTGTTCATTTGTTTGCTTCTAAATATTTCAGCCGCCTCCTCATCTTCCATCTCTCCTTCGTTCTGTTGCTGTTGGAAGTTTGAGCCATCATTCTCTGAAGTACAAGAAAGCACCATCAATTACCACATGAATTAACACACAAGAAAACTGGAAAACACTAGACAAATTTGACAAAGTCACTTCCTTTAAGACAGAAACAAGGCCAAACATATGAAAACAGCAAAAAGAGTGCAGCTTTTTTCCTTTTGCTGCAACAAATTGACAAAGAATAAGTACCTGGAGGCTTGATGGCGGCAGAGTCTAGTTGCTTCCTGGTGTAGTTGCTGTTTTTGTGTGAAACTGCATATGCTGCAATTGAAGCCACAGCCAGAAAGCTTATTTTGATTATCATGTAGGCCTCCCAGGAGTTTCAGAAACTCTGAAATTCAGTGTGTTATTTCACCATCAAAATATGTGAAGATACATAGCTTGTAGTGGTTCATCTTATCCCAGACAATGGCATTTAATTCCAATTGGAAGAACATGTTTCCATTTCTCTGAGATTTTTGTCTTCCCCTTGTCTTGGTGGGAATGAGGACAGTGTGTGTGAAGAAGACCAAGCCCGCTATTTGCACATACGATGAGAATATATATGAACGCAAATTAATTGGTTGGTCCGGTTTTGTTTAGCAGGTAGCAGAAGAGTAGATGAGATCAAAATAAAGGGCGCACAAGACAAGTAGGATATTTTTGCTAGTCCCATCCCATTCCATGATCCATCCCACGGATTGGGAAGCCATCACTCAAAAAGGTCATTAGGCATTCGTACGGGGTCCATATATAATAATTAAGAGAGATGTTCTTATGATCAACCAATACTTTTTCATTTTATTTTATAATTTCTTTAAACTTTAAAATATTTTATTGAGATTTTATTACGTAATCTAATATTTGAAAAATAAAAAAATCAAATTAATTATATTATTTATGAAATGCATGTTTATTTAAACACAAAAGTCATGTAGTTCTTTCACATTAAAATACGAAATCTAATATTTGAAAGGGTAAAGAAAACTTTTCACTTGGTTGGAAAAGAAAAAACAAAACTTACACACGAAAAAGAAAAACAGGGGAGCTCGGAAAGTCACAATAGGAATAGCATTCTCTCTACTTTCATCGGAAAAACTTGTCAAAACCCAAAAGCTTTAAACTTGATCAATACGACACCCTAATTTCCGTTAGTAAAACCCTCCACGCCATCCACTCCTTCACCACTAACAAGTTAACAACACTTCCTTCTCTTTCTTTCCACGGGAAAATCAATACCCTAGCGACTGATTCTCGCGCTTCATGGATGCGCGTCGCGCCTCGCGAACCTTGATCGACCCCAAGGTCCGCCAAGTCGGCTTCTTCACCCCCAACGCCGATACCGCACCCAGTCGGACCCTGTCCGGTCCGCCAATCACGAGCTCACCTCCTCTCCCCGAATCTCCGGCGAGCAACTCCCTCTATCCTGTCATGATCCCTCCGTCGCGTCACCTTTCCGACACCGTCGCGATCCGTACGGCCGCCTTGCCGGTGCCAGAATCGGCGTCATGGCGCAAGGAAGCCGGGGAGCGCGTGCCGGTGGGCAGCTACAACCCCTCGGAGTCGTTGTTAGGTACCTCGCCGGTGACAGCCTCGCCTTCTAGTCGGGTTGGAGATGGGACACTTGAGTTCTCGGACGAGTCCTCGGTCCGATGGTATCGGCGGAGCGACTCCGGAAAGTTGGCTTCGAGTTTTCCCGGCGGAGGATTCGACTCGGCCACAGTGAAAGCTCCTCTTCAAGTTCCTGGTAATTAATTGCTTATGGTCACTGGATTTCTACTTGCTTCATGCTTGTGTGAATTGCATTCAGAAATTGAATTTAAGTAACTGCATTGGTGTATGATTTGTTGTTGCGTTTGTATAAGTTAATTAAAGATTGCAAATTCGCAATGCAAATTGGCTTAGGTAAGAGTATGTGCTAATTTGGTTGGCTATTTCTTGCAGAAAAGAGCGGAGAGGAGGTTTCAAAGGAGCAAAAGGAAGTTCCATCAAATTCAGAACCCTTGAAGTCCAAGACAACAACAAAAGCTGAAAGGCGTGCCTTGCAGGAGGCTCAACGCGCTGCAAAAGCTGCTGCTAAAGGTGATTTAGCTTCTATTGCCTTGTTAATTTGATTTAGCTGCTCAAAAATCAAATTGTTGCAATCCATTTTTATGAATGTATTTTGTGGCTTGTACTCATTCATATGTGTTACAAAGGAACTATTGAAGTACTTGTTAATTGCGTTGAGGCGTGTAAACATCATCTCATAAGTTTTAACTAAGATTAAGTTAGAACAAGTCTAAACATGTATTAACTATGAATTACTTTCTGTTTCTTTACCTTTTTAATTTTGGATTTTTCTCTGTGTGTTTGGAATTCCCCTTAATACGATCCACATATTAACTGTTTTTATGTTTCCCATCCATTATAAATTACAGCTGAGGGGAAAAAACCTGCTGCTGTATCTCGGGGTGGGGCTCCTGGTAAGCCTGCAAAGCAGTCTGTGCAAAAGAAGGATCCTCCTCCAGTTGCATCTTCGGTGGCTGCTTCTGACAAGAAGGGGGGTGATCGACCACCAGAGAAAGAAAGGAAGAAAGATGTTCCTGCGCCACGTATGCAGTTTGATGATAAGAACCGAGTGGATAAGGCAAAAAGGCGTGCAGTGGTCAATCAGACTGAAGCTAAAAACAGAGTTGAACTGTTCCGGCATTTGCCTCAATATGAACATGGAACTCAGCTTCCTGATCTTGAGTCAAAGTTTTTCCAACTTGATCCTATGCATCCTGCCATTTATAAGGTATTTATTTTAGGAAACTAGTTATTGTTAGTTCATCATTTTTGGTCTGTCTTGTAAATCATCATCCGCATGGCTGATAATGTATATATATAAATATGGACATTTGTCAGGTTGGACTGCAGTATTTGGCTGGAGAAATATCGGGGGGTAATGCTCGTTGTATCGCAATGCTTCAAGCATTTCAGGAAGCCATTAGAGACTACACCACACCTCCAGAGAAAACCCTTGTCAGAGATTTAACAGCAAAAATTAGTAGTTATGTCTCATTTTTCATTGAATGCAGGCCACTTTCGATTAGCATGGGAAATGCAATTAGGTTTCTGAAGAGTCGTATTGCCAAATTGCCCTTGACTCTATCTGAATCTGAAGCGAAATCTACACTTTGTTCAGAAATTGACCGTTTTATAAATGAGAAGATAATACTTGCGGATAAGGTGATAGTTAGGCATGCTGCTACGAAGGTCAGGGACGGGGATGTCCTTCTCACATATGGATCATCATGTGTTGTTGAGATGCTGCTGCTATATGCCTATGAACTGGGGAAACAGTTCCGTGTTGTGGTAGTAGACTCACGTCCGAAGCTTGAAGGCCAAGCATTACTTCGCAGGCTAGTGGCAAAGGGTCTGAGTTGTACATATACTCATATAAATTCTGTGTCTTATATCATGCATGAAGTAACACGAGTGTTTTTGGGAGCTGCCTCGGTATTATCTAATGGAACTGTATATTCGAGAGTAGGAACTGCTTGTGTTGCTATGGTTGCTCATGCATTTTGTGTTCCAGTCTTAATTTGCTGTGAAGCTTACAAGTTTCATGAAAGGGTACAGCTTGATTCAATTTGCTCTAACGAACTAGGTATGTTGGTTCTTGTATGTGCTCTGAGCTTGCGTATTCCTGTTGCTTGTTTTTGTACATATTTTCCTCCTGAAAATGACTATGTAGCATCTTCGTATTTCTTTCAGGTGACCCAGATGCTATTGCGAAGGTTTCTGGAAGAACTGATGTAAATTATCTGGATAATTGGGCTAATAAGGAAAATCTGCAACTTCTGAATTTAATGTAAGCTTTCATATGGTTCAATATAAAGAATGAAAACTTGTTAACACTGTCTAGAATGATTCTTAATACACTTCTTCATGTGTAACAGGTATGATGCTACTCCATCAGATTATATATCTATGATTGTCACAGATTACGGCATGGTAAGTCATTTTTAGCTTTTGCTTTTATATTTTGTTTTTATTTTTACCTAGCTATAACTATGTTGGCATATGATACAGCCGGTTATCTCTTTTTAGAAGTAATGGTTTTAGCCTATTATGTGTCAAATACGCACATAAAAGACAACTTTACTGCCCATATTTCAGTTGCATCTTGATTCTTGGGCAGTAAAGTTGTGCCTAGTGTTCTTGATGTGTAAGAATTTTCTTGATTACTAGTTTTCACAGTTTTGTTTTTAATTTTACTGCAGATTCCACCCACAAGCGTGCCTGTCATTGTGCGCGAATATGGGAGAGAGCACTTATGGACATAGGAAACTTTAAAGCAGAGCAACGTTGGAGGAACAAAAATAGTTACATGTTCTGTGGTAGGATTCATTTTACAGGCTGGTGGTTGTCATGCACAGGAGAATAAAACTTGATTTTTTTGTAAACATTTGATAAGGAGCTCGTGCGAAATGAAACATTAATTTTGGGGTTGAAAGACGCAGAGGTAGCTGGGTTTAAAATTTTGTTGGTATACGACTCAGTGAAGAGTGCATTGTATAGCCTCTCCTGACAGTTGTGGGGGTGGTTTCATGTATCATGTATGTTTTGGAATATCTTGTTGCATTTTTTACCTGAATTTTGTCGAGATAATTGAATTATAGTGTTATAGTTGAGGTGTCGTGTTTTCAACGAATTATTTCTGTTTGCTCCTGCTGAGCAGATGCAAAGATCTTAAATTGCTAAACTAAAATATGAATTACAGAAAATCGGGAAGGTATGGAGAGGAAGAAATGAGGGTAAAAAATGTTCGAATAAGTCAAAGAAAACAAATTCAAATGGGTGATCGCTAAATCTTCCATTCTGCAGAACCTGAAATCTACTCTTCCCAATCTCAGATGATATTTGATTGTCACCTCCTCTGGTTAGCATTATCACAATTGTCAACTGTACATCCAAACCGAATATGAAATTGTGGCCTAGTTAATACGTACAACATAGCATTTCCAAATGCTTAAAATGTCATTTCCCCTCTATTTAAGTGGGATTAGCAGTTGGCACGTCAAAATATGTATGACCTAGATCATCAGTGTTCCCTTCAGTATTTTTGTTTCTTCTCAGAGCCAGGAGTGGTATTATCAGCTGTAGCTGCAGTTGTTGCCAATTCCATCAACCGCTCAAAATCTATTTCAGTTGTCTTATACTTCAGTTTCATCCCACCTTGTAGCCATGACCTTATGCAAAGCAGAGCTTGCGTGCTATCATGCGGCATACAAAACCGCTGCTTGTAAATTTCATCACCTTTGCCACAGAACAGTTCTTCAGGTGCCACTGAAACTGCCTGCACTGCCAAGAAATCCCGAGCCATCAGAGAAAGCCGTGGGTAGCGCATACTATTGACCTTCCACCACTCCAGAACATCTGTTGCTATTGGAGCCGGAGGCTCCGACAGATATTGAGTGAGCTCATCGGTTGAGCTACTCATGTTTGCCCTTCTTTTCTTTCTTGCTATTTCCTCTGCAAAAGAGACATTGCATCCCTCTTCTAGTTCTTGAGCACTGTATCCACTAGTCATGGATGGGAAATGACTCGTCGAATAATTTCTAATGAAATGAGTTCTCGCTTCATCGAGAAAATTTTCTGCGTTGAGGCTCTCAGGAATTAGCTCTCCTTTGATTCGAGGATCAAGAACTGCGGTCATGTATATGATTATGTTGCAAACTTGGTTATTGTAACCTCTAACCTTTTCAGCCATTTCTTTAGCAGCATTTTTTAACAAGTCTGGGTAAAGGTGAGAATCTCTGCAAGCAGCAATTGTCTCAGAAATGTGATCCATGAAGAAAAGAACCAGCCCAACAGTGGGCAACTTGTTCGTGCACATGTTGTTTGTGGTTTTGTAGAATGGTTGTAGATATCGATGCACATTACTGACTGCATTCTTCTCTGCAGAGCTCAGCAGCATCCTACTGCCTAGCGTCTCATACTTCCTGATAACAGCATCCATAGACTTAGAAGCCTGCATTAAAAATAAAGATAAAAACAATGTCACCTCAGCCACTTAATCATCGACTAAAGTTGGGGGGAGAGAGAGAGTTAAGGATAACTACACAGCCCATGGTTCATTTAAAGATGTTATCCAATATCATGTAATTAGCGTACCTTGCACACAATGTCTAGCATTTGATAATTGCCGCTCCACCGTGTTGATGTATCAAGTGGCATTTTCCATGTACTTTCCTGGTAAGCTGCTGTGAATTGAGTAAAATCCTCAGACATCTCTGAGGATGCATTTAACCCTATTGCAAACTCTCGAATCTTCGAGATCACCGCCTTTGTGGTTCTCAATCCATCATCTATGATCAAGTTCAAAACATGAGCAGAACAGGGGATATAACAGAAGGGCCCCACCTTCTGACCATCCACGTAACCATGCATGGAACTTTGACTATTATCATGGGTGCATGATAGGACTCTATTCTCTATGTTGTACAGCCTAAGAACCTTCACTAGGGAGTGATAGATCTCGGCACCACCACAAGGGTAAGGTATGTGACAGATATCAAGCATCATCTTTTGGAAAGACCAATTCTCGTCAATCCAATGGCATGTGACACTCATATAATAAATTTCCTCATATGAAGTCCAAAATTCAAGCGTTATAGAGACCTTCGAAGAAACATGTTCCAAAGATGCTCTTACCACTTCCTTCATACTCCTGAAAACTTCATGAAATGTTTTTCTGTACTCCTCGCTTGACCATAGTTGTATTGATGGATTTAAAAACTTATAAGAGTTTGCTAGCCACTTTTCTTCCAATGTTGCTGGAGGTAGAGAAGCTAAGACGAGCCACTTAACAAGCAACCAATTTAAATGGTTGTAATCCACTTGGGGTGCTTTTGATTGAGGTTGATGCTTCCTGACTACAGTGATGGGTGGTGGTGCTGAACTGGTGACAACATCACCTGACTTATCATAACCGGGATGGCGATTACTTAGGTGCCTTCCCAGATTACCTTCAACAACAAAAGAAAGATTAGTAATATGATAAGCTTAACCCTACCATTAGCTATTGACAAATCCACTCCAATATCGGAATCGCACATTGAGAATGAATGAACCAATGATAATCCCTACATGAAGAACTTGAGCTTCTTACAAATCAGATAATCATAGAATGTAGCTTGATAACATACGATCTAGACTCTCTGGACTATCACGACCCTAAAATTTTGAAGGCACAAAGAACAAAAGCAACTGTTTTGTAGGCCCAGAGAAGTTACCAGTGGCAGTTGCAATAGAATAGCTTTGTCCACAAAACTTGCACCTGCGACTTTTTCCGTCAGCAGCTGTCTCGAAAAACTTGAGATAAACTGATGTCATAGTCTTCTTTCTCGGTTTGGCTGAAGGAGTAGCATTTCCCTGTTCTGAGGAGCTCAAACCAATATCTACAGAATCAATGGTTGGAATGAGCCCCATGTCCATCATAGATTTGGGTTCCACATCTAATCCACCAAGAAACAAAAGAAAACCATCAAAGATCATAGACATTAAAGTTTGAATGCTAAAGGGTTAAAAAGAAGTAAACTTTCACATATATAGACTAGAGTAATTCATCATCCAATGCAATTCAACACTCTCATGACTTAGCAATCTAATAACAAAATATGAATCTAATTACAAGTTGAGAAAGTCAGCTCAGGAAGCATTTGAAGTACAAAAATTGCAAATTGGCAATTTGGTGGGATAAGTACCTTTGAAGGTTTTAAAAGCGTTATTTGCACCCCAGTCCATTTTATATGCTGCTTTGCTTCTCAGTACTGTTCCTGCCCAACAATCTCCCAGTGGGTGCTATGTGAAGCTCGCATTTGGGGAGAAACCAAACCTGAAATTCAAAAAAGGGATCAAATTTAGGGCTTTGGTTAGGGGTCAAAGATGTTCCCACAGACCCTCACTCAGTCACTCAGTCACTTGCCTTGGCTCTGTGGTAGGAGAAAGACAGCAGCTTGAAACGAAGAGATTTTTAGTAGGAAGAAAGAGTGAGAAGAGAGAAAGAGAGGGAAAAACAAATGGAGGGAGATGATGGAAGTTGGAAGCGGATCGGCGCAAAGACTGAGCCGGATCGCAGCCGAGCGAGGAAAGGCGAGAGAGCGAAGAAAGAGGAGATCAGCTGGTTTTCTTTTTTCTTTTTTTTCCCTCAGGAAAAATAAAAAAGATTTTTAATCTCTGAGCTTTTGCAGAGCCGCGAGCGACGCCTCTGAGCTCTGAGTCGTAGATCTAATCTCAATCTTCGACGGCTAAAAACTACAAAGTAAACGCTCGCTGGCGCAGGAGAGAGAGACACGCACACAAGCAAGCGAAGCGAAAGTAGAGAGAGAGAGAGATTGATGGGGCTCGGCTGCTTGCTTGCTGGGCTGGTGGCGGCTAACTTTAAGTGAGCCTCTGGTCAGTGGGCACGAGTTGGTGAGCCCCAGGCCCAGCTATATATGCCTATAGCTTCGGTTTCTGGCTCCACCAAGCCCATTTTGCATTTTCAAATTTAACGTTCATTTTTCTTCTGTTTTTGCTATTATTGCAAAAAGCTTCTAGCTGTCATTAATATAAAAAAAAAGGCTTCTAGTTAAGAAATTTATTCAAGCATAAGTTGGTTAGAGCGAATATGTTCCCCACTCTGCATATGAGTTCGAGTCTCCCTCCTCGTAGTTTACACTATATTAAAAAAATATATATATATTTCTATACTTTTTAGTGTTCGAATTTACATAAAAGGTAATTTTGCACATTCCCCCTAAGCATAATTCCATTAACCAACTCCACTCATATTTAATCAACATTAAATTTAAACAAGCATTCAATCAAACAAGAGGGACAAAAAAAAACCCATTAACTTGAATAGTTGTTGGATTAAAAGAGAAATAATAATTAATTGAAGACTTGACTGTTCAGGACTTCCAAGGAAGAACCTTTTATCATGTTTGAAAAGTAGAACAATGGCCATGAGCACCAATGGCAAGAGAGCTTGTGTTTCCCCTCTCCCTCTTTTCCAAAATAAAAAAAAATGGTGCCAAATGTTGCATTGCAATATCATATTACTGAAATTAAAGTAGATTAACCAGATACTTAAATTTAGTGTTGTACTTTTAATTTAAAGAAAGTGTTTGGTTTCACATGGATATCATGAGTGATGTTGCTCATGCAGGTTGCTCATACGTTGCAAATGACAGAAGCTCTTGTTCTTAACTCGGGTTACTGCGTACAAAATAAAAATTAATAACCAGATTTTATACAAATCAGAAAAATTACTACATGATCATGTCAGTTCCTTCCAGTATTGGTTTTGTAATTTTTGTGTGTGTGGGTTATGTGAGAGTGAAAAAAAGAAAAAGGAAAAGAAAAAAGGAAATTAACTGAGGCTGCAATGCCCCCAAATGGCTCAATCTGCTGAACCTGCTACGCTATGCCTTTGAAACCAAAATTATAAACAGCTTTCAACCACTTCACTTTCTCCTTGACTTCCTTGATTTCCAAATGATGGCATAAGGGTTTGGGCAGATTCTGTACGGGACTTTCGGTGGAGGAACATCAGGGACACTGCAGCATTCATGAAAAACAAAACAAAAACCCAAAAAAAAAAAAAAAAAAAAAAAAAAAAAAAAGAAGAAGAGTGAAGAAGCGGGTAAATTTAATTTACTATGTTTCTGAGAGATGGTAAAAGAAAGAAAGAATGAATCTTACTGTAATCCAGCAATGTCAATCTGTGAAAAGTCCATATTGTTGGTTGAACAACTGTCGAGGACTGGTGTTGCTGTTCCACTGGTCCTCGTACGTAATGGTGTGGAGGAGGGTGGTGGTTGCTTGATGCCCAGAATTCTACAATTCAACTTGTTTGCAATGCTGCTGCTGCCGTGGGCCATTGCCAACCTATGCCAATTACCAAATGAGAAATATATAAACAAGGTTTACTTCAAGTTGATAGGAAAGAAATATCTGTGCGTGCAGAAGAAATAAAAGAAACATCCAAAAACTTTGATAGGGAAACTCAGGAGGACCACTTCTTCTATGATTACCAACAGAACAGAGGTAGCTAGCTAGATAGCAATGGCATTTACTAAAACTTCTACAACTGGCGTCATGTAAACAGCATCATGTTTGGTTAATACGGGATTCGACTACCTAATCCAATGATTCTTGATGAGCCACATGTTACATCAAAAAGCCAAAAGGGATAATCTTATATCATTCAACACACCCTACTGCAGGGTCACCCAGATAAGCTTTGTATTTATATATATATATGTATGTTGTCTCAAACTATTTGCTAAGTCTAAGTAAAGTGGAGCCCAAATATTTCTGCCTAGCGATTTTGTTTCACCAACATGTCACATGCATAGCTTGTTCGTACATAACTCAAATGAACCATGGACAATTGTCCCGTCCCATTCTCATCCCACTCAAGGAGAACAAATTTATTTGCGACAGCATCTGAAGTCAATCATATATTTTCATATAAGAAAGCTAAAACGCGTAGTAATATGTGATTGACTTGAAATACTGGCATCCCGATATAAGAAAATTTCTCCCCCACTAAAGGGCCATGCTAGCTATTTGGCAATGGCAATTTCACACGGTACACATTAAATAAGGCGTACCATAAAGTGAATAATGTGAAATCCACCTAAACCCATCTGACAGTTGACCTGTTCTGTTCTGCCAGGACCTTCCTATGAAACTCACCTTATCTCATCACTGAATTTCAAAATTAAAGGCTTTGAATTCAGTCCATCAAGAACATCATCGTCATCATACATATAGAGATTAAACATTGGCACTACATATCTAATGAATGAATTATATATCAAATCAAAGCTTACCTGTAGAGAAAGCTGTGATCATGGAGGCCAAGCACAAGAGTTGAAGCCCCAATCTCTGTCACCACAGCTGCAATCTTCCTCCCATCTTGATCACCTTCTGTCACAATCATTTCAACCTTTGTCTGTAAATCATCATATCATATACACTGGTAATTTGAACATTTACATATAATCAGCAGCAAATTAATTAAATGGTCGCATAAACAACAACATGTAATTGGTAGCCAGGCCTAGGTAGAGGGTTGCTTACGTTGGGGAAGGTGTTGCAGATGTCTTTGAAAGAGAGGGTCAACTGGAATCCCTTTAAGCGGAGAAGCCTGGTTTTGTTCTTGTTTCTGGATCTTGAGGTTGAAAAAACATGGAGCAGAGTTATCAAGTCCCCATAGCGAACAAGGTTGTCAAGTGCCCATTTCAGAGCTGTTCTTGCCGCTTCCACGTCTTCAACCACCACCACTATTCTCCTCACATCCATAACCTGCTCTCTGCTCTCTCTCTCCCCCCTCTCTCTGCTCTTTCTCTCCCCCTCTCTCTCTCTCTCTCTCTCTCTCTCTGTTTTTGTAATTTGGGGTTTGTTTTGTGAGGAGAAACCCAAAAGAAAACTCACAGATTAAATTATTTATGACTCGTCTCTGTCTTGGCTCCTTTTAAATGAGTTTGATATATATTATACATCAATCAACCACATACTACTTGCTTCACCACATAGCTGACCACAATAATTAATTAATTAAACAAATAAATAAATATTACTATATTAGGTCTTTGTACAAGTTAGATTAGATGTGCATGCAAAATCAGATATCTTCTTGGTTATGTCTATATATGACATTTTATGTTGTTCAATAAAATAAAAGATACACGCTCTATATGAATTAGTTTGCCAATTGTGGTCCAATGTAAGTGAAGTTACACTTCATGAATAAGAAATTAAAATAGTTATTTGCGCTGGTATAATTTTTGATGTCACATTACATATTCGCCCTTTGACTTAGAGCATTTGGCTGATATTTTTTCATGATTTGATGAGATTTTGGGTACTAACCTTAAATTGTTTACAGACTTCAAATTTGATCGTGCCCGTTAATGCTTATGGGATCTAAGACCTACAAAACTGGCATCTATTTTTCAGGAATAATAAAAACTGTTGCTGGGATTTTTCCAGATTGCCCCAATTATCACGCAAAAATCATTTTCTCATTTGAATCTCGAGTGATTTTAGAATACTATGGTTGTACGGTTACATGATATATTTTATACACCTGTTATAATATAAGTGAATATTTATTAATACTATTTCTTAAAAAATGAAAAATAAACTATATTGTCTATTTATATTATAACACGTGTACAAGATGTACAACGTAATCATATTACGGCAGTTTTCTATAATTTCACCTAAATCTCATGCCCTAACTACGCCAAAACTATGATCCACTTTTCTAGTAATACTTTGAAAATTGAATTAATGATTAAAAACAGAAACTTGTCATGTCATGTCAATGGATAAAACAGAATTGACAAATTCTTTCGGAAAAACTGAAATATAAATATATGACAAGCAAGAACCTCAAATAAACTAATACGTACGGATTAAAAACAAAAACAAATGTTTTTGTTCTAAGTTCTAACGCACCTGGTGGATGGTTAGCTTAGCTACAGAAAATTATAAATTAGAATAATATTTTTGGTCTGGCTGATATATAATTAATTTTATTTATACATTGCCACCATTTTGTGGGGTTTAGACTCCACTCATATTAAAATAAAGGATATGAAACCATGGCATGGGGGGGCTTGGTCACTTTGATTATCAAGTCACTCAACGACGAGAAAAAAGGAGTCGTGTCGTCAGTTTGGTTGTGGCGTTTCTGTCTTCGTGTCTTTGATCTATCTTCTTGTTTGTTTGTCGTCTTTGTTGTGGTTCCAAGTGCACTCATTTTGAGTGACAGTTGCTTCCTAAAAAATACATGAAATTCATGACCCACATTGCGTCTCACCAGACAGAAATTTATATAAAAACAAAGGAAAAGAAATCCCCATGAGCAAACTGCCAACCGAGTTTAGGTTTTGCAGGTGTTATTTGAAGTGCTTGTTTTTTGTTTTGTTTTGGTTACCGTGTCTGTGGGTGTGTTTTGCTTATCGTAAACGGTATTTTCAAAATTCCAAAAAACCAAAAATTTCTGTTTGGGATATCAAAATTGCATATTTAGATGTAACCAAAAACAGAAAATTAGTGATGACGTTGATATTAAATTAATTTAGAGCATTTCAGACTATTGTTTATAAGCTCCCAAACAGTAAAAGGAGCCCAGGACTCTGATCGCATACGCATATGTGCTTGAGACCAATTTTGTTGGGTTACAACACAAAATAAAAATTTGATAGGCCCCGAGCTTGGTTAACTTGGGCTTTAATTTGCTTTCGACCGGCCAATCGGCAGCCTATTAAGATGATGGACTTGGGCCCACAGGAAGAGACACTTCCGGGGTCTGGGCCAACAATACTGCTGGGTTGATTTGTGTGTTAAACCCAATTAGCTTAAAATTAGATTAGATTAGATACATGCATAAGAGTAAATGCACGAACCAAATACTATAGTTGAATTGAATTGGATTGGATATATAAATAAGAATAAGGCAATACTCATTTAGGTGAAACATTAATCACTGCCTATTATATACGATTTTAGATTCCCATTTTGATTTTGTAAACTTCATAGATTGCCCTTCAAAGTGTTTCTATTTTTATCCTTTACCTTCTTATCCCATCTACACCTTTTTTTTCAAAAAAAGAAACCAATGACTCTGTTCTTTAAATTAATTTGTGCAGTTTATATTTTTTTTAGTGCTAGTAGTTGATAAGACGGAGAGATTATAGAATACTATGATAGTACGGCAACATGTTAATGTTTTACTATAACTATATAAATGAATTCACTGTATGTGATTAGGCAAAAATATTTGGGAATTTAATTAAGTAAGTAATTAAAACTTACATAAACTCGTTTCACAAAGAAAGAAGGTGCATGTCGCGTTGGTCTTATCCTTCTGCAATTTACATGCTTAAATAGTTAAATTCTGCGAAATAATCTCCATCCATATCCCATTTCAACAATGGCCAAAGCTCTTGTTAAATATTTAGGTATTGCTCTTGTGTTAATACTTGTGACTTTTCTGATATGCTCGGAAGCCAGGTCTAATAAATCAAGCTCATCCTCTTCGCGCACCATCAGATTTCCTCTCTACCACAGAGAAAAGTTCTTAGCTTCAAACTTCAAGGACCAACGCTCCCTTGTCCGGACTCGTTTGGCCCGCGACAATGCGCGCTTTCATCGTCGTCATGCATCATCTTCTGCTCAGTTTCACAAGCACTCTGGGAATGATCTTAACCATACTGCCGTGCTCGAGGAAGGCGGGGAGTACGTCACCGTTTTGAAAGTGGGAAGTCCGTCGCAGAACGTGCAGCTACTTGTGGACATAGGCACGCCTTTGACATGGTGGCAGTGCCAGCCCAATTGCAAGTATTGCTACTCCACGCCGCACCACATTTTTGATACGAGCAGGTCGTCCACGTATACCGAGACAAATTGCGCCGAGGGATTCTGCGATGTAACCCAGCTTTTTATACTGGGTTGCATTCGCCGCGACGATCCCAAGTGCCATTATAGGGTTCAATACGTGGACGGGTCTGTCTCCCAAGGCGTCATGGCGAGAGATGTTGTCGCCACCTCTGAGGGTGTGACTCTCCATAACTCTTTCTCTTTCGGATGTGGACGAAGCAATCAAGGTGCATGCAGATCAGTTTATAAATGAAAATTAATAATATTGTCCATTTTTGACTGATACTAATATAATGTTGTTTACCAGGTGTGACAATGTTCAATGCGGACGCTACGGGGATCCTAGGGTTTGTACCGGGCGGATATTCGCTTCCCTCTCAACTCCAGGCTAACACATTCACCTTCTGTCTCCCTACTTACAATACCACTTCGAGTGGAAGTCTGTACCTGAATTATTACCCATCGGCTTTTCAGTATTCAAGTAGATCGATGTTGATTATTATAATGGGCCACTATTATTTGGATTTCAGCGGGGTAGAAATTAACGGGGAAGCAATTCCAATTCCTCCAGAGAACTGGCAATGTGATCGGGAAGGGGTTGGCGGTGTGATTATTGACACAGGGAGCACCATAACCAGGTTCCCCAAGAAAGCCTATGACATATTCAAAGACTATTTCCTGCGTAACGCTCAGGGCTTGCCTTTATCGCAACCCGAAGAGCAGTTAGATACTTGCTTCAATGTGGCAGGTGTCGGAGAGTGGGAAGGCTTCGTCCCTAAGGTTATTAAATTGTTTATTTTCATTTTTAAGTTTACATTGAATTAGAAGAATTGATCGAAAGAAAGAACCACGTACTGCTTTAGTCAAATGACCTAACTAATATCTGCAAATTGATTTTTGTTTTGAACTTCACTTTTTTCAGGTTAGATTTTTGTTCAAGTGGCCGTCTGGTCGGCCCCTGGAGTTCGAAACCGGTCAGCTTCTGATGTCGGTGGGCAATAACAAATATTGCCTTGCATTTGGCGCAGGAGGACCCACCACAATCATTGGGAGTTGGCAGCTACAAGGCTCGCTTGTTGGCTTCGATCTTCCTAATCATCTTGTCGGATTTCTTCGTGCAAGTTGTTAATCTATTTGATTAGCTAGCTAGCTCGATTGATTGTTGTACAATATGCAATTAACTAAAATAATAATTAACATTGCATAATCTATTCTACACTCAAGGACAAGGAGGTAAGTGTGGAAATCTGAGAAATTATCATGCTAAAATCGGCTTATTGTTAAAAACGTACAAAATGATTGATTTTGTAATCCTTCTCTAATTTATTATATATTCTCTCAAGTGTGTCTAAATTATGCCAAAGATCACTAAAACCACCGCACATTATTATAGAGTTCAACATTATGTCAAATATGATTATTGGACTAAGCTTTTGGCCAACGGGATCTAACTGAGTGAAAAAGGTTTTGATTTGCACACTAGTGTTCTCAGTTTCAAACTCTCATTGCATCTTCTAACTATGGCAATAACGAAAAACAGCTTTTGACTTTAGAAATTACCCATCCGCATCTTACAGAAACCAGGCCCATTTTCTTTTCTTTGGGTACAAAAACGAGGTCCCATTTTAAGAATTTGTTTGGGCTTAAATCTAATTAAGGCCAGTTTTTTCGGGTCGACCCAGACCAGTTTTTTTCCAACGCCGAAGTCCCAAAAGGGTTTTAGCTGCCCAACCAAAAACCCTCAAAAATCCAGAGAGAAATTGAGCACCATAGCTATTTACCAGTCTGAAAATGTCTACCTCCTCCTCCCTGGCTACGCTCTCCAGGAGACTCTGTCGCTCTCTGCACTCAAATCCTATGAATGTACTCTCTACGCGCTTCTGCACCACCACGACCACCGACCTCTCCTCCTCCTCCAGCGACAGCTCTGACTCAGACGAGTCCAACCCTCTAAACTCGGAGTCCAACTCGCCCCAAGACAACGTCCCCCCACCACAGCCGCCACCGGAGGACTCCAATCGGAAAAACTTTTTCTACGATCGCCCGCTCGAGAACGGCCTGGACGTAGGCATTTACAAGGTACATTTCACTCGTACCATTTCGTTTGGTCCTTTCAAATAATTCAGTGTCTCAGAATTTGGGGTTTAGGGTTTTGATTGTGTGAGTCTGCGCGTGGGTTCAGGCGATACTGGTGGGGCAGGTGGGGCAGAGTCCGTTGCAGAAGAAGCTGAAGAGCGGGGCCACGGTCACCATGTTTTCTGTTGGGACCGGCGGCATTCGGAACAACCGGAGGCCGTTCAATAACGAGGACCCGTCGCAGTACGCAAATCGCTGTGCCATTCAGTGGCATCGCGTTTGCATTTATCCAGATAATCTTGGCATGATCGCCATGAAGAATGCTTTGCCTGGGTGAGAAGAAGTTTTCTCTTCACAGCTTAAATATCATGCTTCAAATTACTGTGCTTTGTGATTGTTTATGGTGGTATAGATGTTATGTTTACTCTTCAAAAGGCACAAAACACTTCGGATGACTCTTTTTCGTACAAATGCACGTAATTTTGATAATGTGATTTGGAACATTTTGTCGTGCCTTTTGGATAATTGGGACTAGCAAATTTGTCAACAGTGTAGTTTTAAGCAGAAATTGTGAGGGTTTCGTGGAATTTTTGGTGATCGAATTAAAATGGAGCCCTTGTAGTAAGGAAAATTCAATGGAGATGTGATCACAGTCAAAATTGTAACACCTTGTACATCTAGATGGACAGGAGGGTGTTTGGAGGATGTAAACTTAATGGAAGAAGGAGTTGTTTGAGATTGCAGTAACTTTGATCCTTATGAAGGAAAGTAAGTAATAGAAATTGGATATTTGTTGAGTAATGATTTTACCAATTGCTTTGCGGGCTTGTGGTTTGATGTTGCAATTTTGTAAACCATTCTGGTTTGTGCTTGCACAGCTAGTCTCTAGTTTTAGATTGCAGTAATTTGTCATACCTTAATGTCCACTGCTGCTTAGTTCTTATCTTGATCATGGCCTCCTTCCTTCCATGAGTGCAGAAGTTTGATTCATCTGTTTATTCTGTTGATTGGAGATTATAACCAGTTCTGCAATTGGCAGTAACATATTGAAATTTGATATGTTGCAGTTCACTTTTATACGTGGAAGGTAATCTGGAGACCAAAATATTCAGTGACCCAGTAAGTGGGCTTGTTCGACGTGTTAGAGAGATTGCTGTTCGTAGAAATGGTATGTACTCTGTCTATTTAAAATTGCGTAGGATAAGCTCAACCTATTATGTTATCTCTTCCTGTTTGTGTGTTTGTGTTCTTTTTTTCTTTTTGCTATCAAAAGATATATAATTCGTACTTTTCATCATGTTTCCTGTAATTTGCAGGTCGCCTTGTGTTTTTGGGTAAAGGTGATGGTGCTGAACAACCGCCGAAATGGGGGCTGAAAAGTGTTGGCTACTACTGAAAAACTTTGTTTTTAGTTGTGACAGAGATTTTATTGACTGAAAGATTTTTTTACTTCGTAATTAATTCTCTATTCCGCCTGAGACCAAGGGGAAGGAAGATCATGGTGCTATTATGCTGCTATTGTTGTAGCGTTTGCAGATTAATATTGGTCTTCTTTTTATTTCTTGCTCACTTTTCCCGTGCGTAAAGGATTTATATAGTTATCACGTTGTTCGACAATTTTCGTAGTCTAATTTGACGTCCATCAATTGCTTTAAGAGTATGTTAAAAGCTGTGATTAACGTAAAAGCTTAGTATTACAATATGCACTTGATTATTAACAGTGATTAAGCAAATCACAAAAGAAGCTGATTGGATTGACTCTGGTTGTCCATATTGATAGTGTGGTTTTTAGGTACCACAAAAATCACATGTTCCAAGGCATTTGGATAAGCTTTGGATCTTTCTTATCCACAAAATCTCCACACCTAAAAGGAGTGAATACAGAGTATATATGAAGTAATGCTTTTTGGCCATGAATTTTATACGATTCAGCCATGATGCTCTGAAGAAGACAGGCCTAGCAAAAAAAAAATACTCTCTCCTTGACAAGAGAGATGTTACAAAGCCCAAAATTCTTGCAATCCTCCGCTCCTCCTCCAGCACCACCATCACCCATTCCACAACTCCAAGTTGTACCCACTTGCTCATCTTTCCCTTCCATTAAACAATGCTGCAAATTCTCACGTAGAGAGCTCACAATTGGAAGCAATTCTCTTATACTTGCCCTTCTGGCCTCGCAGAGTTTAGAGGCTTTGTTACCGTCCAAAGCACAAGCCGAGAACCTTGTAGACGATGACACAAACAGAACTGAACAAGAAGCACAAACTTCAAATGCTACTGCTGCTACATGCACTGACAGAAGCCCAACAAAGCGTGCATTTCTCGATATATCCATTGATGGAGAGCCTGTTGGTCGCATAATAATTGGGCTACACGAAGACGATGCCCCTGTTGGAGCTGCGAGATTTGGCAGTCTTGTGAGTGGAGCAGCTGGGACTAGCTACAGAAGGAAAGAGTTTGTCAAGATTATGCCCAACTACGTTCAACATGGAGGCGTGAGATCTTTTGGTGTAGATGCTGAGCTCGCAAAGAAGACAGGAACCAATTTGGAAGTTGATAATCTGACGGAAGAGTGGGAGAGACTGAATGAAAAGTGTGCAGGGATCAAGAACAAGGCTGGAACTGTGGGCATTGTTGTGAGAGATCCTTCCAGACCACCCCCCAAGATGAAGCTGGTTGCCCGAAAAGGGAAGTTGGAGATTGATCAAGAGGAGGTTGGCACGGCCCCGAATGGAACAGAGTTTGTGATCACCACCAAGGATTCGCCTGAGCTCGATGCTTCAACATTGGTGGTTGGAACAGTCCTGGATGGTAAGGAGGTGGTGGAGAAGATTGGTGCGGTGAAGACAGTCCAAGAGAATACCAGTTCACCTTATTTCAGGTAAAACCCTTCTATATAAACCTAAACCATCCTCCTCATATAGCCTTCAAGGCTTCACCTTTGTGATGATATTTAGACACTAACAAAGCAGGTCGTCGGCAGGGTGGCCAAGCTGATAGGAGATAAGAGAGCTGTTGTGGCAGAAAGAGGATTCAACCGCCCTTACGCAAAGGTGGTTATCACAAACTGTGGCTTGATGAAGTAACATACTACTCGGCAAATTTATTTATTTTTGGTTTGTCTTTCCAGTTTTGTAAGAAGAGAAACACTTCAATGCAATACATCAAGTCTTTGTAGAAGTCTTAATCAATTTCTATTCCTAAAAAAATTTGATAACTATGTTTATTTAAACCGCAAGTTACCCAGCTGATAAGGAGAATGTTACAGTTTTTAAGTTGGGCAATAAAGGAATGTTACACTCTAATCTTGTAATATAGTACAACACTTCTAAAGCTTTCAAATGGGATTTGATGCCATGAGAGAGGGACATTCGAATGGGGGATGCTACAACCTAACCTCATATCACAACCAATCCTGGACCTCCTAGGATACCATTTTACGGGCGGCAAAAAATCAGTCAGCTACTGTTTAGTGTTTCGCGTTAAAACAGTTGGCTTCATTCTTTTTGGAGAAGGAGACGTGAAAAGATTTCTGATTGAAGTGACAGGGTCATCGACCTGTACAAATGATCAAACGCCAAATGATGATACTACTCAGAAAACAATTCGACAATAAACAAACCCAAATTTTCATGTAAAAACACAGACGGACTACATGCATTCAAACATGTCTCTCTGTGTGTGTGTGTGTGTGTAATATTGCAAACTGCCAATTCCCATGTTGGGCAAAGAAGGGATATTGATGAGTTCCAAAACATAGGCTGGGAAGGGATAATCTCAGTCAACATGTAGGCACAAAAGGAAAAGTAGGCCTCAAGAATACCTTAATTATGGATTTAGACGAAGGAGAACCCCCTTCCTGTCGTTGTAAAGCAGATAGTGTTTGTTTCCATCCAGGTGCCCCATTACCTGCTGATGCAATCCAGGGGCAGAAATATCTATGCTGCCTGATAGGATCAAACTCCATCGTGCTACCAGGCAATACATGCGTTAGGTCCTTCCCTGCAAGAATAGACAAAGCAAATTATTGAAACCTATTTTGGTACCATACGGGAAATGCCTTGACAAGGGAGCAAAGAGACGTCATGTTATGCATATGAAATACAGGCTGCTGACAATGTTCTTGATTACAAAACTTTGACCAATCTGTCAGTGATTATAGTTGCAGGTACCAATTATAGGACCAGATAATAGTCAAAACAGATTATTAGGAACATAAACATGAAACAGACCTATTGGTGAATTTACGGAACACGTCTATGTGGCAATTAACTGCATCAATAAATAAAGTAAAACAAGCACGAAACTAGAAAAGGTGGAGTTGGGCACAATATTATAGAAGCAAAAGATATATAATTTTAGTGTTTACGAAACAAGCAAGGAGACTAGTGTATCTATGCATTCTATAAGGAAAATATAATAATAATAGTAGTGCCCATGGAATACATATTGCTTACCACTACTGCAGGCCACAAGTTCATTGTTTATGGGAATTTGCACTCTGTTTTCACTGCCCTCGCAGTTTGAGGTGGGTTGGGCATCAGTTATGGAGCTGTTAACATCTGCATTGTCTTCCAAGTTAGATGGAACACTTGGAGAATCTTGTTTTTCGCTGCCATCCACAATGATTCCTGATTGTAACAATTTTCCTTCGCTAGAAACCATCACCAGCGAGTCATTTTTGTCCGTTTCACCATTTTCATATGTGATATTGGCGTCAGAGGCTGTTCTAGGGTCCCTGACTTCTGAATTCTCCAATCCGACATTTCCTGCATTTTCTCGGTAGTGTTTGTCCCCCTTATCCATCTGGGAATCAGATTGCATAACTTCTTGGCTAACAGACATACAATCTCTAAACTCAGAATCATATGAAAACCGGGCCCTTAAATTCCGGCCAATAACAGGTAAAGAAATTGTTGCTTTGAAGTTCTGTTTTGTTGGTGGAGGACCCCCAGCAATTGTCAAATTTAAATTTGAGAACCTCTCCTTTGACAATGTTGCACCATCTGAGCCAGCACCTAGAGTATCTACCCTATTGTTAAGATGATTTTTAGTGCTTGAATCAGGGGTTCCAGGATGACTTTCAGAATGTACTTCTGCATACCCAACTAATCTAAAAAATTCCAGAGGCCGTGGAACTGTTGAGAAAGCCCATAATCCTACACTGGCTCCACAAAGCTTGCAATCTAAGACAACAGAATTGGGTTCAGACTGTATAGAACTAGAAGGGTTGGCATTTCTCTCTACCTCCACAAGTTCATCATTACTAGTAGAGTGCACATTGATGCTTGGATTTTGTCCATTAGTAGCTGAATGAGATGAACTTGAAATATTTGCCTTCATGACCGAATGATTTAGTCTGTTCTCAGAATCAACAACATAAGGTAGTGAACGAGGTTCCCAGCCGCATAAGCTTATGAGCTTTTGTGCCTGCAAAAACGATTCAAACATGATTAGTCTACATGAAGAAAGCAAGAACACTAGAAACTATTAAGATTTCTGAAAAAATAAAAGATTCCGAAAGTGTTAAGAATCAGATTGAGAAGATATGAAAGAGTGATGCACAAGTACATACAATGAAGAAAGCAACATTTAGCAATCAAAAATGAAGGAAAAGGACTCAGATATCTCAACACAAGTAATATCGGGAACAACAGGCAAACCAAAGATCAATTATAAAACTTTTGCCAACACGACATGCAAAACAGTTAGGGGTGGTAGAAGTGCAAATTAAACAGGTGCAAACCTGATAATACAACTTTGCAGAATCTGCACTGCCTTCATTGTCAGAATGTTCTGTTCTAGCAATGTCGCCAGACCCATTGCCATAAAACATAGAAGACTGTCCAAGAAATTGCTCGAGCTGAGGGCTCTTCATGTACTGAATGGCTGAAGAAGAAATCACAGGAAGAACTGAAAGTTGTAATAGAGCAGAGCAGCGTTCTCTAAATTTATCAACTAAAACTGGAGGCGGGGTAGGTGGAAACTCTGCCAGTATTTCATCACAAGTATTGTCAATCCATGGACAAAGTATTTTATGTCCATTGTCCAGCTTTAAACTAAATACCAAGGCTGCCTTCTCAACTGGAAAACACAGGAAATAGCTTTATTTAGGATGAATAAAGTTAATAACAAATATTTGTTTCTTAATTTACAGCAATTGATTAATTGGTGGAAGATTTAGCATAAAGAGAAGAATAACATGCCTTGCTGCTGATTCCAAGATGATGGAGTAGAAAAGAAGAGACGTGCCCCGCATGATTCACATGCTATTATATCCGTATCTACATTGATCCAACCTCTTCTGGCACAATTTATAGCACTGACCACCTGTTCAACATTGGAGAAATCTGTATTATGTAATGGCTTAATTGTAAATGACTCATTAACCAATGACGTTGTTTCACCATACCCTAGTTTCTCTTTTAAACATAACAACACAGCAAAGGCAAAACCAGAGCTTATTTCAAGACCATATTCGGAGCTATTTTAGTTAGCTAACAAACAAATAAACACTAACTATACAAAACCCGTTCTGATGTATGATAGAATTCTAACCTTAGGCTTGGCAAACCAAGTCATAGACTTGAATGTAGCTACCCTCCTCATAAGATCCCCACGGTCCCATGGCCTACATAGTGGAGCATGAGCCGGTGCAGGGGGAACTGACAAATGCCCCGAGGCCTCCACTCTATCACTTCTCGATTTTGGTTCCACCAATGCCAATGCAGAAGATGGATTTGCTCGCTTTTTGCCTCTTGATGTTTGTACACTCGATGAACTGTTAGGAAAAAGAAAAAAACAATGAGCATTCTAAGGTTTAGCTAACAATCACAAACACAATTTCCATAAATCCTACACAAGAACAGTCATAAACGATTTATGGTAATTTTATTTAATAAAATGAATTAATACGATATAATCTGGCATTGAACGATAGCTAGCGACCATGCGATTTCAATAGCACAATCCTAATTATGCTGAGAGATGAAACTTCTCCAATCAAACTAGCATAGAAATCGATATCTTCATTGACGGAAAACGAGCAAGAAAATTAGGAGGAAAATTTGAAGAAAAAAAAAATTTACGAACCCGGAAGTGGAGCTTGGCGCAGATTTGGGAGCGAAAAAGAGCTTGTCCATGATGGAATGGAACCTCTTCTCAGAATCTTTCGACATTAGTTTTCTTTCTTCTTCGTTTTCCAGAAGAAATTGGAATATTGGAATATGAGAAAAGCTTCGGGAAGTTTAGAGCTAATGACCTAATTAAGATATAAAAGCTGTGTGGTAGCGTATATATTGTACGTGCTTGCTGTTGCTGGTGAATGTGAATCTCTCAAGCTAACACAAAATTGTTTCCTCCTCCTTTCTCTTTTGCTTGAAATCGGGTTCTAATTCTAGGGCGGGCCATGACGGCGTTTCGCAGTGAGGGTGATTAATAGATTTCACTTGTTTCTACAGCTCCAGCTCCTTGATATCCTTTATGGCGCGTTATAACAAGGTAACTTTGTTTTGTACGAAAGAATTGAAAATTGAATAGAATTATAAAATAACTGAATTTAGATTTATATCATTTTAATTTCTGGCAATTAAAGATTTCATTGTTTGGATTTATGTATGTCAAATTTTGTAAATGACAGAATTTTGCAAATTGAACTATGAAAATTGTGAAATGACGACTATTTTAATGGAAATTAAATTCGAATTTGATGCTCCAATTTTCACAATTTTTTTCACGCATCATTTAGTAAATTCTACACTTAAGTTGCCAAACAAAAGAATTGCCAATTTTTCTCTTAAATTCTCGATTTTTAGCTAAATTCCGAGTTGTTTTCTCTCTTAAATGCCCAACTTTTAGATAAATTCTGAGTTGTTTTCTTTCATCCAAATTGAGGGTAAAAGAATTAGTGAAACCCAAATATTTCAACCCAATGATATTTCTTTAATATTCATATTCCATTTGGTTATGTCAGTTTGCTAAGACCGTATGCCGATTCCAAGTTCAATACTCGTTCCCATGTTTTTCTCTCTCTGGAACTCATCCTTTTGTATTAAGTAGTTAGAATGTCACTTTGTTAAATAAATAAATTTTTAATTCCATATCACCTTGAAATAAAAAAACACAACAGCAAAAAAAAAAAAAAAAAAAAAAAAAAAAAAAAAAAAGAAATGTCCAAATGTGAATTTATATATGTTCTTCTTCATAATTGAAGGTAGTAGAATTTTATAGAAAAAAAAAATAGATATATAAAAAGACAAAAGTTAAAATGCAAGCACTTTTTACCATTCCCATTTAATAATACAATGATGTGGGAAATAACTTTTCCATATGTCATTATATTTACAAGTAAGTTTTTTTGGGTATGTGGAGCTAGCTTTAGCTAGAATGTAAAGCCTGCTCCATGAAAATTGAAAGATCTAAAGACTAGAGTCATTTTATAGTGAGAGCCTTATGTAAGGTCCTTAGAGCACTTCTACCCACAAATTCACTTAAATTTATTTTTTATTTTTTCTTAAACCATTGATTTTGATAAGCTTTTCGGATAAGATTTTCAATTCCCAAGTGTTAATATTTATTGTAAAATCCTCACCTAAAAATCAAGATAACATTTTCGGATAAAATTTTGAAATTAAATTGGTGTGGAAAGTTAATAATATTGGTAGGTATGTATAGAAAAAATTTCCAGAATTTTTTGATATTTTTTTCAATATTTTTTAGCCAAAAATTGGACAACCATTGGATTATACAAGATTTTTTTATCGGAGGCTCCAGGACAAGCCACATGGCTTGTAATTATTGGGCAATGTGGGTTTGGTGCCCAGGCAAGATTAGCCCTTGGGCTTGCCCAGGCTGGTGGGACCCACCGTTTGCCTGGGCTGATTGCTGCGTGCTGGAGCTCCTTGGGCTCGCTAGGGTAGCCTTTTGCCTGGTTTTGGCTTCCGCGTTGGACTTGCTCTTAGATGATGTCATATATCTTAATAATTGGATTAAACTAATTAATTTGATCAAACAGTTAAAAGATAGGGCATCATTTAAGACCCTACCTCACTATAGAATTCTGCTCAAGAGTAATGATATTCGGGCCTCAAGGTTGACGACGTAGGCCCATACCTTATATACACAATATAAAGATTTGATCCAAACTAATGATGGATATTTGGGCCACGAGAGATTCAAGAGGCCCATCACCTTCGTTAGAGTAGAGATGACAAGCCAAACTAAAAGAAAATGTACAGAATCAGTAGGCCTGCACTCTGCAGCTCTCTAACATATATAGATGGTGGACTATATTTTACACTGCACTACATTAATTATATATAATATATATAGCCTTTTCTTGTCAAGGGTGGTCCAAATATATTCAAAGTGGTTCTTTCTTGCATTGCAATTTGCATTCACTCTCATCCTTTTGTTTTCTTTCTGGGCGGTGGGCACCAGCCAGCTATCCTAGTAGCAATAAGACTGTATGTGATCAAAGATGATATGTTACGGTAAAGTATATATGATTAACTTAATTTAATAAAAAATGCATTCAAATTTCTCCATCATTCAATTAAAATGTGTCTCATAAATGGGTCCCTTGGCTAGCTACAAAAAGCCTCCATCTCTCTACTTCTGTCAAGCTAAGCTCTAATCAGTCTCTGCTGTGCAAACCAAGTTGCTGAAATTTCTGCCATAAATTCATAATCAATGTTTTAATCCCATTCCGACACAAACTCCCAAGCTAGCTACTCGATGACCTTCTTATTTATCATGCTCACCTCTCTCTCTCTCTCTCTCTCTCTCTCCCCAATATCTTCCTCTTTCTTTTTTCTGTAAAGAACTTTTGAAGTGTCTTCACCCTACTATACTAACAGCCTAATGCCATAATTATCTTACTTACTGACTTGCTTGCAGCCGCTCCTAGCTACTCTCTTGTGCATTGTGCCTTTGCATTAGCCATAATTAGCTAGCTAACCCCCAACTGCCACCACTTTTAATCTAACTCGTGCATCTTTCACACCATAATTTTGTTTAGATAGATATCGTTAATGGTTGTTCTGCCAAGGCTGCCTTTCTCTTTTCACATCTACTCGAATTTATTATGAGCATTTACTTCTCTTTTCCTTTTATAGTCTGGGTTTTCAGGATTCTTCATTTCTATTTTGCTTCTCTTTCTTTTGTGTACCAGTTTTTTTTCAAACAAGTTAGTTACCAGCCAGCCAGAGCAGAGCCAGGCCATATATTCTTTGTTTCTATTGGCAATGAAGAACTTCTCCACTATTGCAACTCAATATATTTATGTGCTATTGTTCTTGCACTGCTGCTGCTGCACCATGTTTGTTCTGGTTTTAGTGCAAGCAGCAGACCCTTCATCATCGGAAGCACCCATGCACAAAGCAGAGCAACAAGCTCTTTACTCTGCTGTTCAAGCCTTTGTGGGCAGCTGGTGGAACGGCTCAGATCTTTATCCTGACCCTTGTGGCTGGACCCCAATTCAGGTATTAAGATCCCAATGATCAGTTGTAATTGTCATCAGCACTTGAATTTCCACAATTTTCAATCTGCATTATTTGTGAAACTCAGAAATGTTTTAATGATCATGCGCAGGGAGTCTATTGTGATCTCTACAATGACTTCTGGTATGTTAGTGTTATAAACATCGGGCCGCTCTACGACAACTCTCTTCGGTGCACCACAAATATTGCTGAGTTTTCACATCACCTGTTCAACCTCAAGCACTTGAAGGTCCTCTCATTTTTCAGTTGCTTCCTCTCACCAAGCCAAAACCCTATAACAATTTCCACTTCAAACTGGGAAAAGCTCGCAAACAGCTTAGAATCCTTGGAGTTTCGATCAAACCCCGGTCTCATTGGAACAGTTCCAAACACTTTTGGTTACCTCAGAAACCTGCAATCTCTAGTTCTGCTAGAAAATGGATTAGGAGGCAACTTGCCTGAGGAAATAGGCACTTTGGTCAACTTGAGGCGGCTTGTCCTTGCAGGAAACCAATTTTCAGGTAAGATTCCAGAAAGCTTTGGAGGGTTGAGTAAGCTCTTAATATTGGATGCAAGCAGAAATAAACTGTCTGGTTCATTGCCTTTGACTTTTGGAAGTTTGACTTCACTTCTAAAGCTGGACTTAAGCAACAATATGTTGGAGGGGAAGTTGCCTAGAGAGATTGGAAGGCTAAAAAATCTCACACTTTTAGACCTTGGCAGTAACAAAATATCTGGTGGGTTAACTCAGTCACTTGAAGAACTGGTTTCTGTAAAAGAAATGGTGATATCCAACAACCCAATAGGGGGTGGCTTGAAGAGCATTGAGTGGCAAAATCTACAAAGCTTGGAAATTTTGGACCTTTCAAACACATGCTTGACAGGAAACATTCACAAGTCCATGGCAGAAATGAAAAGGCTTAGATTTTTAGGACTTAACAGCAACAATCTCTCAGGAAGAGTATCTCCAAGGCTGGCAGCTCTGCCTTGCATTGGTGCTCTTTACCTTTATGGCAACAATTTCACTGGAGAACTTGAATTCTCAGAATCCTTTTATAGGAGGATGGGAAGGCGCTTTGGAGCTTGGAACAACCCAAAACTTTGTTACAGGGCTGAAGTAAATTCAACAGGCCATGTTCCTTATGGGGTAAAATCATGTAAGCAAGAAACCACTATTAATATTTCTGGTAATGTTCCTTCAAATGCCAAGTTCAGTGAAGCAAACTGGGATCACAGTATCCAATTTGTGGCATCCTTGGGATTTTCAAGTTGTAATCTTGATGGGGTTCTGTGGGTTATTATTTTCCAAGGGATGTTGTTTATTCTTCTTCTTTGAAATGTAGCCTCATAGATGAAATTAATAACTGTTTCCAACACCATTTTTCCTCTTTATAGATTATCCTTTGTAAGTTTTCATTTACTGTCAACAAGAAGAACTAAAAACTGAGAGCCAAAAGAACAGCCCTTTTCACCAGTCACTTCTACCCTGAATCTGAAAATTGCTAGAGTGAAAAGTACTTCCAAAAAAAGAAGAAAGAAGGCTCAATTCAAAGTTTGTTAAAAATCAATCAACCTATAATATTGCAATCTTAAGCTAAGTAAACGAATGGCCAGCATTTAGTCAAAGAGCTCAGCAGTCGTTCTCGTTCAGTACTTGATGAGGAAAGTTTCAGTTTCAGTTTCACCATGTGATATAACTTAGTACTTGGAATCTAACTGTACCCAATTCTGCTTCACCACCCAGTCATTCAGAGAACAGAGGCCACATTTTTTAACCATCTGACTTTTTGCAAATTATAATTAACAGGCTGCTGCTCAACACAGAAAGTTCATGATTTTGAGTTACTTTTACCACACGGTAAGAAACATTTTCCTGACTGTCCTCTCATCATCTCAGCTAGTTTCACTCAACAGCCTCATCCTCAGCTGCCCTTTGAAAAACAGTTGTACCAAGTCAAAGATAGGCCTTGCTCAACGGCTACCTTCAACAAGCCCACCACCTCCACTTTTTACTCCTAACAATCCTCAGTTTGTTTTTTTACCTTCAGTAACAAACTAATTCAACTGCAGTAGCCTCCCCTCTTTTTAAGTCCAACCCAATGCCCTCACTTCCTCATCAAACACTATCACTTTCTTCTTCCTAGCGCTAGAGATCAACCAAGCAGAGAGCTCCCTACACAATCCAAATTCTACTTCATGGAACCCTCCAAAGTAGTTCTCTTCTTTTTTCTTCTTTCTAGCTTCCAAGTCTTGTTTGTAACTTGCACGAAATTTGAAGTTGGAGGAAAGAATGGGTGGGAGGTCCCCAAATCAAAGAATGACCAACAAATGTATAACCAATGGGCATCAGATAACAGGTTCAAGGTCGATGACACTCTCCGTAAGTACTCCATCTATATCTACATACACACTCTTTTTTTCTAATTAAGCTTGCCACTTAACTTGAGTAATATTGTTTTGCTTTGTTTTTCATGGGCTTAGATTTCAACTACACCAAAGACTCGGTGCTGGTGGTGACCAAGGACGAGTACGAAAAATGCCATTCTGCTCATCCCATCTTCTTCTCCAACAATGGTGTGACTGTGTTCACATTGGACCGGCCTGGTTTGTTCTATTTCATTAGTGGGGTTTCTGGGCACTGCGAGAGAGGCCAGAAGATGATCATCAAAGTGTTGGAACCAGCAAGCCCACCTCAATCTGCTGACCAGAACGAGCAGAAGAATGATGCTGCAGTTGCAATGGCCACCATCTCTTCTGCAACTCTCATTTCCTGCATTATGTCATTTGTGGGGGTCCTTTTCTTCTGAATGCAGTGATTAGTGATGGTTACTATATTTCTCTCTGCTGTTTTTTCCCATACCCCTGATTCTTAATTAGGTTTTTTCTTTTAGTTTGTTTCCATTAATTGGGTCAGTTGAGATTAGAAGGAGTGTAGGACTGGAACTGATTGAGATTATGAAAGTATATTTGTTTCAAGTATGATATTTCTCTATTGAATTATTATTATTGTTATTATTTTATCTTCTTTTTTTGGGTACAGATTGGTTTTAACTCTTGAACAAATTATTTGCATCCATCTTAGTACAAACCATAAAGCAGAAAACTGTTTGTGGCTCTACCCATTGAATCTTTATTTACAATTTTGATTCAATATCAATATGAACTGGTTTTTCAATATCAATATCAATATCAATAAGATATTTGAACACATACAAAACATATGTTTCTAATATATAATAGCATGGCATTGGATCAGGACATTAACGGGAAGTTATACTAACACCAGTCTTATAATGTGTTTTTGGCGCATTTTAACAAAGTTTCCCATGAAAGGAAAACCTTCACTATCCCAATTATAAAAAAAGGTTGTTTTCTATACCAAAGGGAAACTTCTATGCCAACGGTCCAGTGAAAAAGGGTTTTCACTTGCAGATCGGTGTATCGCTTATCGTCCTTTAAGCAGTGTTATGATAGCTTCATTTGCGGAGCAAATATATTGTCATACTGTGGTAGAGGATAGACTGAGCTTCAGGAAGTAAATATAGGAGCTGTTGGTCATGGTAATAGAAGCTGGTATTTTTCCTGCCACCAATAATCCTCAATAGCAAGACCCCAAAGCTATATACATGAGATTTTTCAGAAAATATCCCGCCCATGGCAGGCATACTCCAGAGACATAAAGCCGCACACTGCTCAGGAAATTCATTATCCACTAACTTATTATTATTCCTGATATAACATGCTAAAAAGCATATTACACAAGTTTAGTTGGGAAATAACAATTCTGATAAAAGGAAAGAAATGATTCTTACAGAGTTCCCACAACCTTCTGACTGAGTGTTGTGTCCCTTGAAAGATACGTGCCAATCCAAAATCTGAAAATTTTGGGCTCATCTTCTCATCCAACACCTTCAAACAGGAATCACGGTGGAGATAAACAAGTCCTCTAGCAACACCTTGAATAATATTGAACCGTTTAGCCCAGTCAAGCACTGCTCTTCTCATTGCCATTAGAAATGAAATCAATAGTTCCCCTGAGTTGGGCATACTAGGATAGGAAGAGCTCAGACATTATCAAAGATATTGAAGAAAGATAGGTAACAATGAGAAATTGCAGCCAAACATAAAGGGTCAGTGAAACTAACCCAATAATATCATATCCAAGTTGTTGTTTCGCATCAACTTCTCATCATCTTTAATGCAGCAACCCATGAGCTCTACAAGATTCTTGTGTTGGAGTTTGGAGATCAACAGAAACTCATTCTTCAACACTTCTATGCCTTGCCCTGACCTAGCTAATAGATAGTCTTTTTCGAAAAATCGGCCTAGGCGGCGGCTAGGCGCTAGGCGGCCGCCTAGGCGGGCCCTTTTTATTTATTTATATATATAGATTTTCTTTTCCTGACTTTAAAGAAAACCTACTGTCCTCTCTCTCTCACTCTCTCTCTCTCTCAAAAACCTCCTGCAATATCCTTTGTATCAAAAGAGCTTTTTTTTTTTCCTGATTAAGCTTGTCACTTAACTTGGGTAATGTTATTTTGCTTTGTCTTACATGGACTTAGATTTCAACTACACCAAAGACTCGGTCATGGAGGTGACCAAGGACGAGTGCAAAAAATGCCATTCTGCTCATTCCATCACCTTCTCCAACAATGGTGTAAGGGATGGGTTTTAAAGAGTATATGCGAGGGATGGGTTTCAAGCGTATAGCCGCGCGGCTATACTATTAAAATAAAAAATATATCTCAGGAGTATAACCGCGCGGCTATACTATCTAAATAAATATATATATTTAAGCAGTATAGCCGGCCGGCTATTCTATTTAAATAACAAAATATGTCAAGAGTATAGCCGTTCGGCGATACTCTTTAATTAAAAAATAAATTTAAAGAGTATAGCCGATCGGCTATACTATTTAACTAAAAAATATATTTCAGGCGTATAGCCGATCGGCTATACTATTTAATACGTATAAATAGTATAGCCGATTATACGCTTTGAATATACCTTTTTTTTTGTGGGTATAATTTCCTTCTCTATTATACTCTTTAAATATATATATTTTTAAATATAATTCCACTGCCACCTCCAAAGCTCAACAGCTCCGAAGAATCAAGCTCTCCTCTGTCACTGCTCAACAGCCCCAATTCCTTTGGTAACTACTAATTGCAATCAATTTTCTCTCTTTTTGCCTTTGTTTTGGTATGGTTTTGAAGTTTCGATCGTGCTGTCGACTAAGTGTTTGATGTTTTGACTGTGAAGGATTTCTGGACTTCTCACCAAAAGCTCAGCCCAGCAAAGTTAGGAACTTTCCTCACGTGGAAGGGAACTACGCGGTACATGTCTACATCCCAGGTAACCAAAATCTCTAATTCTCAGATCCATTAGCAAATGCCATGACTTTGAGTAAATGAATACATAAGATATTTTGTAAGGAAAACAGAAAAAAAAAAAAACAGAATTTACCGATTGAAGAAAGGCCTTATTTTTTGAATTCAAATGGGCTCTTTTCCCCGGTTGTTCTTTATCTCTCTGTCAATTTGACAAGGTTACCAATGTATGCAAGTGTATCAAATATAAAATGGTACACTAAGTAGGTAACTAGGGCAGATGACTTACATTTACGCCATCAATCAAAATTGCGTTTTACACTCTCAATGTCAGCTACAAAACTTCAGCAGTAAATGAATACATAAGATACTGTTGCAAGAAAAACAGAAAAAAAAAGCATAATTTACTGCACACACGAAGGCTCCTCTAATGCCTTACAAATTGTCGATTGTCATCTCAACCTTTTTGCATACCCTAAGGATTGCTCTCACTGAATCCATTTCGACTTCCCTCTACTTTACGCATCTTCACCCTGAACTTTGATGCGCTGCTGTCTAAGTTCAAATTCACCTTGGATGGATTGGAGAAAAAGCCTATGTAATATTGGGCCTGATCCACCCAAAGAAAGGACCCGTGACCCGATTAATACAGAAATGAAAGAAAAGCGCTCTCATTCTTTTGCCTAGACAGACAGAACTATCAACCAGCGAATTTCTCTTAAACCTGTGCGGCTGCGTTCTCTCTATCGCTCGACAGAACCCTCATTCACTCTCATCATCTTGCCCAGGTCCCTACATCTCCATCTCTCTCTCTCTCTCGCTGCTATTGCTAGTGGTATTTCACTTTTATTTTTTATTCTGAAGTTTTGTCACAAAGCTTACAAACAAAGGTAGACATGTTCCAAAGCTCTAAAATTTACTAACATAACATGTCTACCTTTGTTTGTAAGCTTTGTGACAAAACTTCAAGTTTTATCAACAAGTCTGGTCTGGTAGCACACCAACAGGCTCTTCACAAGAAGCATAAAAGGTGCTCCAATTGCAACATTCATTTTGAGGACAAGTGTGCCTTATTGGCACACAAGCCATCAAAGGTAATAGCAAACAAAATTGAATAAATCAAATTTCACTCTTTTTTACTTTGGTCTTAAATAATACAATTAGTTTGGTTTTTATTGAATTTAATTAGGGATGCAGGAATGGAAAGTTTGTTTGAGGTGATCTAAGAAGGGATCTTATGGACTACTACATATAAATAAGATCTTATGGACTACTCTTATCTAAGTAAGATCTAGCTATGTATATGCTTGAATTTTATGACTTAGTTTGTTGCTTGGATGTTATTTTAAACTTGGTTGGATTTTAATTCCTATGGAATGAATTGTGCTTCGGTGCTAGCTTAAATGTAATAAGTTTGTATGCTTAGCTTGTGGTTGTTGGATGTTATATATCATGAGACATAGAGCTTGAATTCGCCTGAAGTTATATCTCGCCAGGCAACTATCAATATTAGTATTATTATTTGCAATTATTTACCTCTCTCTCAGGTACTATAGGTCATGTGGCTCATGGAAAGTCAACAATTGTAAAAGCAATATCTGGTGTTCAGGTGATTATTAGTTTCCATCTCGCATTTGATGCCGCTTGCAGTTTTTCCTTCTTCTATTTTTCTTCGTGGACATTAGAAAATCTGGCAAGCATGTGTTCCCGCTCGTGAGTCGTGACTAGAGGTGGGCATTAATCTGGCCAATTCAAATTGTAATTATCGGTTTGATTTTATTTTGACCAAGAAAGAGTTAAACGGCTTAAAAATTGGACCGGACCGTCTATAATTTAATTTGGTTTGGTTTGATTTTGAGATTTTGTAGACTTGCCTATTATACGTGTAGTCCTTTAATTAGATAATAACTATATATGGATGTTGACTTTGAAGTTTGATGGAACTATTGAGTTACATATATTTGAATTATAGCTATATTTAGGGTATGAGTGTCGTAGCTTGCCAGGATTTTCTTGATATTAGCATACAGTGTCCTATGTAAATTAAAAACAATAATCCTGATTCCTGATGTTATGCAGACTGTTCGTTTTAAAAATGAGCTGGAGCGCAACATTACTATGAAGCTTGGATTTGCCAATGCAAAAATATACAAGTGTGAAGAGGATCGGTGCCCTCGACCTATGAGCTACAAGTGGGTACACATTTAATGTACAGTAATTGTATGTCTTGGATTACCGTTTTGCCATTTTAATTTGTTAACATGTTGTATTCATTTTCCAATTAGGGCATATGGAAGTGGAATGGAAGACAATCCTTTTTGTGATGTTCCTGGATTTGAGAACTGCAAGATGAAACTGTTGAGACACGTATCTTTCGTAGATTGTCCGATAATTTTTAAGTTTTTTAAGACTTGTGTGTGGTACATTTGGTCGTGTTGAAAAGAATGAAGTTGTCCTCAACCACAAACTGCTGAGCATCTGGCTGCTCTTGAAATTATGTAGGCATGAAATAAAGCTGAAAACTGAATTACATGCCTTCTCTCATCTGGATTTTAAAGCAGAAAACTGTTTGTGGCTCTACCCATTGAATCCTTATTTACAATTTTGATAGATGTCAATTTGATTCAATATCAATATGAACTGGTTTTTCAAATCCAATTAAATGGACCTTGAATTAGGATCATATTTGAAAGATAAAGTTTTGTTATTGCTGTCACATAGTATGTGCTGGACAATCACAATTTGTCCAAAAATAACAAGGCAAGTGCAGTTGAACCCAAATTTTTTTTTATCTTTGCTTTTAAATAATAGCATAAGATATTTGAACATATACAAAACATATGTTTCTAATATATAATAGCATGGCATTGGATCAGGACATTAACAGGATGTTATACTAACACCAGTCTTATAATGTGTTTTTGGCGCATTTTAACAAAGTTTCCCATGAAAGGAAAACCTTCACTATCCCAATTTTTTTTTTTAAAAAGTTGTTTTCTATACCAAAGGGAAAACTTCTATGCCAACAGTCCAGTGGAAAAGGATTTTCACTTGCAGATCGGTGTATCGCTTATTGTCCTTTAAGCAGTGTTATGGTAGCTTCATTTGCGGAGCAAATTTTGTCATACTGTGGTAGAGGATAGACTGAGCTTTGGAAAGTAAATATAGGAGCTGTTGGTCATGGTAATATAGAAGCTGGTATTTTCCTTGCCACCAATAATCTTCAATAGCAGGACCCCAAAGCTATATACATGAGAATTTTCAGAAAATATCCTGCCCCTCCAGAGACATATAGCCACACACTGCACAGGAAATTCATTATCCACTTACTCATTATTATTCCTGATATAACAGGCTAAAAAGCATATTACACAAGTTTAGTTGGGAAATAATAACAATTCTGGTAGTAGGAAAGAAATGATTCTTACAGAGTTCCCACAACCTTCTGACTCTGAGTGTTTGCTAGATTCTGTGTCTCTTGAAAGATACGTGCCAACCAAAATTTGAAATTTTTGGGCTCATCTTCTCATCCAACACCTTCAAACAGGAATCATGGTGGAGAAAAACAAGTCCTCTAGCAACACCTTGAATAATATTGAACCGTTTAGCCCAGTCAAGCACTGCTCTTCTCATTGCCATTAGAAATGAAATCAATAGTTCCCCTTAGTTGGGCATACTAGG